TGCCAGTCTGCAGATTCCAATTCTAACCAAGATGGCCAAGAATGTACAGAAATGAGCGTTCTTCCGCGAAATTGAGTAAATTTATGCAAAAACTGAGTCAAACACATGCTTAATAAAGGACGGTTCGTAACAATAGTATCAGTAAATCGCTCTGAATAATTGAAATTCATAGGTTGGCTGCCTTTTTGGGCCCTAACTTTATTCGCGGAGGCATCAGTGAAGGCCTTATGAACTTTCGGGGTTTCAGATCAGTCGGTACTCTCCCTATACAGGTACTCTAATGTACAGAGGTGTTTTTTACGGATGAGCCAGAAATTGTAGTTCCTGATTGCAAAAATAAGTCCAAATGTGAGACCATACTAGACACTGTCGGTTTAGTTTCAAATACATTCGTAGGATTCGCAATTCTCCCAGTCCGAATGTGAAGCATTTACGTAGTTGACGAAGCGGCACCTACGGCAAGCCTCCGATCTCGTTTTCAGCCCCATCGCATCGGTGCAAAATGCAACTATTTCATGATGGAAGGAGACTGCAGCGAGCCTACTCCCCCCCCCTCCCCCTTCCCTCAGACCCGCATCCCGTTATCCGCTACGCCGGCGAGTTTAAGCCCTGCAACCCGTTCATCCTTGTGTCAAGTGGGGGTGAAACTTAGGAATCCTCTCAACTGCCCGATGATTGACACAACTAGGATGCTCCTCTACCCAGCGATTTTGCAAAACCGTGCAAAAATTATGATTTTCGGCACAAGATAGCTGTACGATTGCGGTTTATAGATCGAATGTTGTGGGTTTTCCCTAGATACAAGGAGAAATCATCCTGTTACCTTTTGACGAGGCCAAGAAGGCAACTTTAACTTTCGTGGATTTAAAAGTTTCTCGTGGAGGATTGGAAGTACTAATGCTAAAAGGAATTTTGTTGCACGCAAACCCTTTCTTATGCATATGAGTCATTTTAGACTTGGTCATTTGTGCACATTTTTGACAGCGTAAGTTTTTGTACTTGACCCAACCTATAATTTAACCCCAGAAAAAAGATGCTTAGCCCTTTTTTTTGCTCTAAAAATAACGACGATCATGGATTTGAGCCAAATGAGGCTTGATCAAATCATGAAATGCGAGAGGACACTCTAGGCGCGTGAAGTATGCCAACGGCTTTCAAAGTAAACGAAAAGGGATAAGAATTGGAATTTCAAAGGGTAAATCTTCGCTCTCTATGTCGCAACTTCCTGTTGTATATGGTTCTTGCAGGAACAATAGAGAATATAGATTTTTAATGATATTTTTGGGGAGAATGGGGCTCCATCAACTTTTGGACCTTTTTTACTCTCAAAATAACCAAGTTCCCCTCGTTTCTCGAATACTCCAGATATCTCCCTTTTATGATGCTTTATCAAAATATCTCCTCGGACCACCCTTTGTCATAAACCACACAGGCTCAGCAGGCTTCTCACACTGGAAAAAAAACACATTGGATCTAGAGTCCAGACTCTTAAAAACATCGACAAGAAAAAATACTCTTGATTCAATCGGATTTTTGCTTAAATCAAGAACCAACCTTAATTTGAGCGGATTTCCTTTTGATTTAAGCAAAAATCTGATTGAATCAAGAGTATTTTTTCTTGTCAATGTTTTCAAGAGTCTGGACTCTAGATCCAATGTGTTTTTTTTTCCAGTGCATGAAAACGAGCTCCATAAGGAACGAGAATGAATAGGGCCCTTAAAGTGCATAGCCGCACAAAAATTCACACACCGACTTGCACTTATGACGGCCTGAGTTTCGCCTTTCGGTTCAGCAGGCAATTTCACCGGTATTAGCTCAAAGGCTAGCGAAATGCGAATAGAATGCGTGCGCATCGTCTAGATATACATAGAACAGTCCTTCGAGGTCGCTGTAAGATACCAACGCGCCACTAGCGAGTAGATGATAGATACTGCATTATCAGCGCGCATTTTCGCGGCAATTCTGCCCACTTACTTTTTATTGCTCCTATAAAAAAGATGGCGTTACAATTCGCGTTTCTTTATTGCATGCGCTGGCTCGCGCGATAAAAATTCGATTGCGTTCGGATAATATATTCATTTTTCGATTTCTGGTCCCCAGAACACTTCCTACCCGACGAACCCGGACGAGAGAAAAGGCATTAAATGGAAGAAGCTGCGAGATAAGGCTGCACCCATTTGAGCTTCGTTACAGTGGGTCTCTACATATGAGGCCCTTTATACATTGAGAGTTGAAACCGACTCGTTTCAGACATTGTCACTCGTAAACCTAGACTACGCTGCCCTGCTGAGGAAAAACGCCGAATGAACCTTAAGGCGTTGCAAAATTTCCTTCGCGGTAAATCACGAACTTTTGGGGTAATTTGTGAATATTTTTCCTCCAGTTTTTCAGATAATTTTGTTCGCAAGTTCAACTGAAGTTCCTGAAAATTTCAAGGAAAAATATTCAGAGCTTACCTCAAATATAAACATTTTATCGGTGGAAATTTGGCAACTCTCGAATGTTCATAAGGTGTTTTTCCTTAGCACGGCAGTGCGGGCATTGACGGATCCAGACACTCCAAACAGAAAAAGGGGGTCCGATGGGCTTCTTCCAGAAAATGTTCGGAATCCTGAAGCAACTATCATGCAGTTTAGGCTAATTTCGTCATGAATAATTACCAAATACACGCGTCCTTCCCTCTCCTTTCCTCCTCTCCTTTCTTCCTTCCTTTCTTCCCTCTTTATTCCTCCTTTTTTTAGATGAACGGGGAGGCGTATACACGCTCTCTACATCCCCCTTGGATCTGCCTATGGACCAATTGGGCCAGGGGAAGTGAAAAGCATATCTCGTAGAGAGTTTTCAGTTTAAAATTGCGTATCTATATTTTCGGAGTATTTTCGATGAATTTCTCAGAAAATTATGGATCACGTTTCAAAAGCAACAAATAAAAAAAAATTAAAAAAATAAAAAATGAATAAATAAATAAACGGTGCAGAGAGACAAGTACTGAAGAACACTTTTAGGGTCCAAGTCTTAACAGATGCGCATTTTTCAATGACTTTTAGGAATATTGACTGCTTTTAATGAAAGTTGAGATTTTCGAGTTACCGATTTGGTGTTTTTTCGATCTCACTGATTCCATTATGCCCTCAACTTTGAGGATTTTTGATCAAGAGTTATTACTGGACAAAACCAGCGAAATATCTTTATCGCTAAAGTTTTCAATAGTTTGATTGGATTAAAAACTTTTACCTATCGCAGACACTTCATTCGCAACTAAAGAAAATAAAAGAAAAGAGGAAGTAATGATAAGTTGGACAAAAAAAAAAGCGAACAAAAGCGAAAAAAAAAAAACCCTAGTCGATTCATCCCTTGAAATAGAGATCTTCCATCGAGGGTGTTTGCACATCCCACAGAAATACAGGGGCGTAAGCTGGTATGAAAAAAGAAGTTGTCAGGTGAAGATCAAAATATCAGAAAAGTCGGGCTCACATCAGTTGGGTAAGAAGATTTCCAACGGGCTTTTGCTAGCATCTCGAAAGGAGTGAAAGAGATGAAACTATACATTCCCTTGCTTGAAGATGAAAAATCGCGCAATATGAAATGCATGATGGGAGGGATGAAACACATAAATAAAAAATACTACCACCGGGTGAAATGGTGAGGAATACGTACTCAATATTGAGAGGGTTCTCTAAGTGCGAGCATTACAAGTTATTCTAATAACGGAGCGTATAAATAAATTTAGAGCTTTACGGTAAGGTTGCTGTTCATCGGTGAAAGCTCGGAATTTCCTTTGCACCGGGAAGTCGTATGAAATGCTCTCTTTCAAGAGAGGCATCGCTGTTTCCGGAGGCTGCGGCCTGACAGGGATTCGCTGGTGTAACACTCAAAAATACTCCCTAATCTGGTGAATAATTGGTGGCTCCGGCTATATTGTTTGCCGAACCTTCTGTTGAAACAGGGGGCTCAAGCCGAAGGGAGTGAAAGATGATGTCGGCACTAAAGGAGATATTATATGCTGACACAAAATGGGGCTGGGTGCCTTTTACGGATTATTGGTTTCGGCAATATTGTGGAGCAGTCCTCTCTCGTCGTGGGATGAAGCGCAAATTGCGTTCGCTTTGTTGCAGGCGTTTCGTCTCGAATAAGTCGAACATCTGTTTTACGGGCACTACCTATTCGTTTGATATAACCCCTCCCATACGAATTCGTAAAGATTAAGACTATATTTAATGAACTGTCTTTAATGATACTTTAGAGATTTTCAAATTTCACGAAAATAAAAACATTTAGCTAGCCATAGTTAGTTAGCCATGCGCTCAACCCCTATAAAAAATTTGAATTTTACCATACATATGCCTGGAAATGATTGTAATTATCGTGACGAGTCGAAAAAATTCGCCGGCAAGTTCACCATGCATAACTCTCAAATTCCAATTTGACTCTAAGAGATTTCATTAATAGACTCATTAATAAACTATAAGCAGTAGTTTAAACTTTTTATATTGAATTGTGTGTGCTAAATTTATCTCGGTGACTATAATGCGACGTTGTGTTATTCCTGTTTATTAACATTATTGCCAATTTTTTAAAACGCTTAAATAATCTGCCTTTATGTAAACGGATTTGGATTCAGCTCGCAATCCTGATGGGAAATGTATAAAATTACAAGCAATTATATCGGTAATTTACTGATTTTAATATGGGCCAAACGTGATATCCGAGGCTGCCACGAGACAGTCCCGGGGCCGTTTGGCAGCAAAATTCGATTCCCGTGGCTGCCCCTAGGGTGACTTTTACTAGGGCTGACTACTTTATCTATCGCTTTGTCTATACATTTTAATACTCAGCCAAGAGGACAGGTAGAATGCAGTTAAGTTGGGTTGATTCTCTCCAAGTTTATTTAACCAATCTCTTCCATTCTAAAATTAATGATTATTTAAAGTGTTCAATATCTCACTTAAGCTTTTGATAATGACAGAGAGATAAGAGGAATATAAACGGCCCAGAGCAGTATGCCACAGTGCGTCACAAAGTTGAATGAACTTCTCGTGGAAGATGCTCACTCAGTCGTAGTGGCATTGACTCGTATTAATCTAGCATATTTTCATCTATCAAGGTATTTAAATCTCATCCATATCCGTGTGAGTTTAACATTTTATTTTTCTAAATCTAATCATACTCTATTATCATTATGATTCGAAAGTAGGGGAACGAACGTCAGTTTATGTTATGAATTCACAGAGGTAGAATTCAATATCTCATAATGTATTGATTAACTGTGGAGGTTATTCACTTTGAAGAAGTCTGTGAAAACATCGACTTTTGCCTTACTGAAACGTATTTTAAGCTTAAAAGATCCACCCAAAATTTAATAAAAAATAATGTAAAGAGTAGATATTAGAAGTGTCTTACCAAAGTATATAGCTTCTATACGTTTCTCACATTCTCAGTTTTAATTAATGTCGATCTATAAAGAGATACTATTGAAATTTTATAATCAAAATCAGTCTGGCTGCAAAGGTCATGTTGCCGAATTTTCTATTACATTCAATTTTTTCCACCAAACTTTAAACCACTAAACGCTTTTAAACTCTTTGTGAATCTACCCCAAATAATAATAAATATACTCATGAAATTTCAAATTTCAATGTTCTTTAGTTTCTTGTTTACCTAAAAATACATCAAAGTAAATTTTACAACGTCTAATGTAGTTAGGCAGATCTAGTTACATCCCCATAATTTCCCCAAAGTTTTTCTTTCTCACTTCGTTTATTAAGAAAATGAAAGAAGTGAAAAATCCTTCAGATTTTAGGATATGCAATATGCTCTGCGAAAACAGCTGAGCGCGCTTCTCTAGGATTTCTCCCGCTTGTGTTTCTCTGTACAAAGTCTACGTCACTAACTTCTAAACTATAAATGCAATCAAATTAAATGTAAGTGACTTTTTTTTACCAAACAGTTGCTGGCCAATGAATGGAGGTATTTTTGGAAGCTTTGACGAGAATCCGTGCGTCCTCCACTTTTTCCGCGTACGGCCGGAATCTCACTAACCGACTTGCGAGGATTCCGCCCCTCATAGAGACCTCAACCCCAAACTCCCCCAAATTGGCACGAACGACGTCCAACTTCACAAATGGGAAGTTCCAACCAATACGCCGAAACCAAATCCGTTTGTCATCATCATCATCATCACCATCATCTCCGGTGACGCTGAGCAGTATCCGAGCATTGAAAGAGCGTCGCGAGAAGATCGCCATGCTGACCACCTACGACGCGACCTTCGCGGAGGCGGCCAGCCGGGCGGGCGTGGAGGTGCTCCTGGTTGGGGACACCTTGGGCATGGTCCTGCAAGGCCATGACTCCACGCTGCCAGTTACCGTGGAGGACATCGCCTATCACACGGCCTGCGTTAGACGTGGCAATACGGGAGCCATGATTGTTGCTGATCTGCCGTTCATGAGCTACGCTACCATTGAGCAGGCTCTTGTCCATGCCAGGTGATTCATTTCAAATATTTATCATATTAACGTCCTCCTATTTACTTATTTCACACTATGCATTTAAAGATGGATATGTAATATTCCAATCCCGAATCCTGATCACGTCGCAATGTAATTAGTTGAATCCCGCAAACCTATAGAAATGACCAACCGTAGTTTGATTAGGATAGGTCAGGTTCATTAACGAGGCGTGAACAATCGACTATTATATTTCCCCATTTGAAATTATGGGGAGGATTCGATTATCAAGGTGTCGTTCGTTGCGAACACCCTATTTATCGATCAGTTTTCGTAAGCTTAAATGACAGATCAATCAATGTATCGAAAAGCATGCCACGCCTCTGGTCAGATTGAAGTGTGGTTCTCTCGATTGTTTTTGGGATTTAACCGCGATTCGGGATTAGACTACATCTGTTAGCATAGGTACCTATGACTTTAGGTACAAAGGAAACATATCATAAAGAATCATTTATAATCGTGGCAGATGATAATACTTTCTACAGCTTTCTCTGAAAATGATTTATTTTTAAACTGCGAGCTTTACACTGACAGACTTCACAAAACCCCAAGATTATGTTTACCTGATATTTTTCTTTGTAATTTCTCACTTTATTTTTGTCTCGTTTCCTTTGAGGAGCCAGACGTCTGATGCAATCCGGGGCGCACATGGTGAAGTTGGAGGGGGGGACCTGGGTCACTGAGACGGTGAGACGACTGACGGAGAACGGTGTTCCGGTCTGTGTCCACATGGGCATGACACCCCAATCGGTCAACGTCTTTGGGGGGTTTAAGGTTCAAGGTAAGCGAAAAAAATCACAAAATAACACTCCAAATGAGCAGCTAATGTCATTCTGAGGGACCGCGTTCTTAAAGTAACCTCTTACCGTTTGGTAAAAAGCTCTTTAGGTTTTACGTTCCCGGGTGATCGTGTCATTTCATGATGAGACCAGTGGCGTGAATTACGATATCGATTGTCAGATCATTTAAACCTGTGGAAAAGGATCGATGAACAGGGTGTTCGCCGATACCTTAATAATCGATTCTTTACCATTGGTTTAAATGGCATAACAATCGATATATCCCAATCTACGCCACGCCACTGGATGAGACCATTGTAGGAGGAGCTCGTGTTGCCTTCTTTAAAAATTGAAGGAAAGCTGAGAAAGTTAACTCTTCTCGTTTGGTAAAAGTTCTTGTTCGTGGGCGTTCCGATTAAGCATACTATTCGCGATGACACCAACATTTGATCACGTTGAATCCTGCTTTGCTTCGGCTAAATTTGAAGGCAACAGATATAACGTTAAAATAACCTTTTTCCATTAGGTGAAAATCTCATATTTGTGTGTAGCCCAAGTGAGCATGCTATTTCATGATGATACCACTATTCAACCACGCGGGAGCTCGTTTTGCCTAGACTAAAACTTGTAGGCGAACTGACATCACATTTTGTGTTAGTCAAAAACCTGCATTGGAATAGAGTGGCCACATTCAGAAAAATAAGTGACACCTTTCAAACTTTATTCTCCAATTTGGCCGGATCAAGGGCTCCGCTGCTGAACTCGAGTCTTTCAACCGACACAAAATAGAATTAGTACAATTAGTAGACCTAGTAGAATTACAGTAGAATAGTCAATTAGAGAGGTCGGACATGAAATGTTTGAGTAGAACTGCAAATTTTGATATTCATTTCGTCTCATTTCAAATTTTTAGGGGAGCTCCTGAAAGTAAATTTTACGAAGAAAACAATGGAACCATTTTCAAAACCTCATGCAGAGTTTTGTATTAATAGAAAGAGTTATAAGCGTTTAAAATTTCCAAATTTTGTCCGACCTCTCCTGTTGACTCGACATGCTGTGCGACATATAGTCGAGCGATCATATAGCTCCATACGCCCCTCGGTCTTATCATGTCGAGCAGACAAACGGGAAGTTTCAATCATTGTCTCGCTTGAATTTTCATTTTAAGGACCACTTTTCTTGTCAGTGTAATAAATAATCTGTATTTCTAGGCCGAGATCCGGCGCGCGCGCAAGAGCTAAAGGACTCAGCTTTGAAGGTGGAAGCTGCGGGTGCGGCCATGATCGTCTTGGAATGTGTGCCATGGGATTTGGCCGAGGAGATCACCCGGGTGGCCGACGTGCCGGTCATCGGGACCGGCGCAGGGCCCGGCACTGACGGCCAAGTCCTCGTCCTCCATGATATGCTTGGTCTCCCCCTACGTGGGCTCATTCCAAGCTTCGTCCGCAACTTCCTCACCGGTAAGACCCCTATAAAAAATTCAATAGATTTCTACATCATAAAATGGACTCCGGAAAAAATATCTCTAGAAGCATTTTCTGCCGAGGTGTTTTGATTTTTGGCAATTCCTGCAACCTCTAAAACTCTAGAAATGGGTCACTCTGTATCATCTCCCTATTTTGCACAGAGAGCACTCATCGATGGCTCACGTCGGAAACCACGTATCTTCATTGGGATGTTTCAAAACTTCCGCTTCCATTTTACTGTTCCGCTGCAAAACAAGCTAACTTCGTACCTAGAAATGTATACATACTGTTCTGCTGATGGAGGGAAAAAGATAAGGAAGTTACGAAGAAATCCAATTGACTATAGTTGGACCGCGTTAAGCAGAAAGGAACCAAGCCACATCAGCTTTTGTTGCCAAATTTAACTTGGCAATTTAATTTTTTACATGAAAACGGCTGTGGAGATTTTCGTGCAAATCCAATGAATTTTCCACGGAATACGAAGCAAATTCCTTAAAATTCGGCGAGGAAACAGCGCCGTTCGTTGCGGGTGAGGAGACCGTAAGTGCCCCATTCAGGATCCGGAGCAACAGCCTCTAAACCCGTAGTAAAAAGAGATTTCGGCTCAGAGGCCGATTCTCAGGCTCTTGAATGCGGGACTTACGGTCTGCTCACCTGCAACACACGGTAATGCTATATAGCCCGTCATTACGGCTCCTGAAGCCGGAGTTTTAAGCGCTCAGCCAATAGGCAGCGCTTTTTGATTTCGACTTGCCTCTAGAGTACGAGTATACTAGTGCTAATTCGTTTAAATGGCGCACCAGCTCATCGATGTGTACGCTTTTTGGGGGGGGGGGTCCAGTTTTGAAATAAATAAAGCTCTGAAAACCGTATTTTACGCTTTTAACGTAATGCGCAGGTAGTTTCGATCGTTTGTCTATAAGAACATTTCTTAGCGGTAGAGTAATTCTTATCGAAATTGATCGTTGAACTTAAATGAAGCCTAAAAAAAACGCGCCTGATGAGCTCAACGGTTGCTATCATTTTCGGGAAACGAAAAAACGCGTTTACGGTTTCCTTGGTAACCTTTGTTTGCTATCAGCTGATGTTTTATTTCCATTTCCCAGCCAAGTCGACGGAGTTTATACTTCCTTTCTTCACTAAATACATTTACTAACACCTGAGCGCTTTTCTAATACGACAGTATTAGAACTTTCCCGCTTGTTTTTTTTTTGTGAACTTGTAGCTTACTTCCCGCATCCCAACAGGAACCAGCATCCAAGCGGCCCTCCGTGCCTACGTGGAAGCCGTGAAGGACAACAGCTACCCTGCTCCAAAACGAAAGGACCCCGGTCTACGCACCTTGGGCACCGTCAGGGACGTCCGCGCTGCCGTAACCGCTGCCCGACGGGACGGCCGGCGCGTGGCTCTTGTACCGACGATGGGCGGCCTCCACGCCGGTCACATCGCCATGGTCAAGACAGCTAGGAAGGTCAGCGACTTCGTCGTCACGAGTGTCTTCGTCAACCCGCTCCAATTCGGTGACGACGAGGACCTGCAGCGCTATCCGCGGACATTGGAGGAGGATGAGCGGCTGTTGGCGGATGCTGGGTGTGATGTCCTGTTCGCGCCGTCTGTCGAAGAGATGTACCCGGAAGGGATGGAGGCGGTTACGCGGGTCGTTGTGCCGGGCGTTTCTGAAGGTATTCTTAAGTTTCTTTTGAATAGTATTATATTTTTTTAGGGTCTTAAAATGAGGGGCTTGGATGAGAAGGCGCATAAATGCAGTTTTTGAAAAAAATGAGATATCAATGATTTCAAGTAAAAGTAGTCGCAATGCACATTTTGTGAAAAATTTGCTCCCACATTCTATTTTTTAAGCACTAAAACGTCAGTTTGAACTTTCTTTCTTCAGTTACTTGAACTGAAAAATGTAGTATTCACTATAAACCAAAGTTTTTCTCTTCGTGGCCTGCGTACCATACAAATATATCGAAACCGTCACTCTGCAATTTTTTTTTTTTGAAAGGTCTTTGTGGCGCCCAGCGACCCGGCCACTTCGACGGTGTGACAACGGTGGTGACGAAACTATTAAACATGGTCCAGCCGGACCTTGCCGTGTTCGGCGAAAAGGACTACCAGCAGCTAGTGGTCGTCCGGAAACTGGTGAGGGATCTCAACCTCCCCGTCGAGATCATCGCCCAACCCACGATCCGCGAACCGGATGGCCTAGCGATGTCATCCCGCAACCGGTTCCTGGACAGATCTCGATCACTCCGTCTGTTCGATACGCTGAGGAGGCTGGCCTCTGAAATCAGCAAGGGTGCACAGCCGGAGGCCTTGATGTCTAAAGCGGTGGAGGACTTGGAGGCTGAAGGCGTGAGGGTTGATTACTTAGAGTTGCGACGGCAAGATACTCTATTGCCCGCACAACCTGAGGATCGGGCGCTGGTGCTACTTATTGCTGTTCGAGTGGGAACGACTCGACTCATCGATTCTTATCCGTTCGAACGATCGGGTTGCGCTTGAAACGGGTTCATTTAGCGTGACGTAATGACGACTGACCAACAGAGCCCGCTGATGAAACGTGCTAAAAGTTAAAGACTGATCAACGGGAAATCAACCGATGGCTCTTCAGTGACAGCGAGATTGATCAATAGAACTTCATTTTGCAATTAGGAACTACCATTCTTGGCTCATCCGTAAAAAATGTATGCACATAGGGAACCTGGTGTTACATATATTGATTCTAAACTGAGCCCGAAATTGTAGTTAAAATCGAAAAATGTAGTTCAATAGTCATATCATTTTTGGTTGAAAGGGGTGGTTTCCATAGACTAGGGGAGAAAATGATGGACTAACTAAAAGGTCTCTCACGGGTTTCCGTTAGTTAGACTATTATCTACCTCATTTGTCCATTGCAACCACCCGCTGCCACCAATAGGATCCTTCCATATCCTTTTTGTCTTCTTTGTCTATTGCTTTCACTGTAAAAAAAAACACATTGGATCTAGACTCCAGACTCTATCAAGAGTCTGGAGTCAAAAGGAAATCCGCTCAAATCGAGAGGCTTGGTTCTTGATTTAAGCTTAAATCTGATTGAATCAAGAGTATTTTTCTTGTCAATGTTTTTAAGAGTCTAAACTCTAGATCCAATGTGTTTTTTTTTTCCAGTCTTATATCTACCAATTTTAACAATCAGCCCGCACGGGAGAAGGGAGTCGAGATAAGCGTAATGGACATTTTGTATTTAGATGTCAAAGGATACCTTCGTCAGAATGGCATTACGCGGGGGCGGGGGTTGAAAAATTTGAAATATAGCGTCACGTATTTTTTGAACGGTCTGTGAGTGTAAAATACTCAAAAACAATAAGTGATTGAGGTCTTTACTGTTTTTTTTTTCTTTTGTTTATTTGTCATTTTCAAAGTAAGTTTCAGTTATTAATACAATATGATCTTTCAGTCATAAACTCTTCCAGCAGGAGTAACAGTGTGCTAGCCAATTAGACCACAATGACCAAGCACACGGTTAGGAGGAGGGTGAAGACGGAGAATGACGTCAGAACAGCGTCACTTGTGCTTAGAACCACTGTCGCGAATGGCCGTAGTTGGATGCAATCTGTCTCGTCGGCGCTCAAAGTCCTCACTTTGCTCCTGAAAAACAGAATACTTCAGTTAGTCCTTGAAAAGTGTTGATCTTAAAGAATGTTCAATCCTCCATCTGGTACGCACTGGAAAGCGCACATGTGTCGATTTTCAACTTTTTTCCTTTTCCATGTAATTTTTTATTTATTTTTAACAAATCGGTTGCACGCACGAGACACGGCCAAGTAATCATATTTTCTACATGCAGAAAGAAGTTATTATATTTTTGGTGTACGATCATACTTTTATACACGTGGTTTTTTCTTGTAAATGAAATCTCCTTTGAGGAATGAAATGCGCGGGAAGTGACATGGAAATGTCACAGAAATGAATGTTAAAATTTGCTACACATGAAGAGATTTACCCAATTTTAAGACCAGAGTGAATGCTGCTTGTATGCACAAACATAGTCTCGGGCAACTTCGCCGCAGAAGTTTTTGGGCATACATCCTCAGTTTCTGATCCAAGGTTCATGACCACTGCGATTGTCTCACTGTTGTAGGATCTGAAACAGCGTGAATTCATTGATGAACAGCAACGAAAAAAATAATTGCATTTAGTGTACATTGCTGAGTCTAAAATCAAGGACCTGGCCTCTGAATTCCTGTAGTCAAACCTCTTTTCAATATCACGAATGAGCGATAGACGTGTTTGCCTGCAAGAAATATGCTCGCCTAAGCTTATTTTTCATTGCATCTCCTAAAAATAAATGGTTTTGCGATTGGCCATGAATTAAAATACTACGCAAATTGTTATCTCTTCAAAATTTCACGTGTAAAACGAACCTCAGAACGAGAAGCCGTGACAGTAATTCCTACAATTAACATTGGTCAAATGCAATTGTGAAAATAAGAATGACGTAATGCTCAGAATTTAACCCCCATTTGACCTGTGATAAAAATTAGTGTTAAAATCTTGTTCAGGATTGAATGTCCAAATTTTCCATTTTATGAATCCTTCTCCAGGCGAAATTTTGAGGATAAAACATGTAAGACTTTTTGCTACTTTGGACCATATCTATTGGCCCATTGTAGCTATTTAATCCATAATGAAACACTTCAGAGTATTTCTTTCATGAATATTTGTAAGATAAGCATATCAGAATCTCTGAGAGGCAACGAAATGGAACAGCATAACAATCCGGAAAGTAACTTATTTTCTTGTATTTATAAAGCAAGCTTTAAATTGCTTACCTTGTAAACAAATATACCCAGTCTTTGTGCACAAATGTTTGAAAGTCACCGTGTTGAATCACTGGTGTTTTCCTCAGTTGGACGATCCGCTTGAATATATTCAGATGGCTATTCGGGTTCTCCCTTTGAGTCTTTGCATTTTTACGGTAGTAGTTTGGGTTTACCGGTAACCATGGTTTCTTTGCAGTTGTGAATCCTAAAACAATTTTGGGAAAAAAACATTTAGCGCTATGCTCCTCGAAAATACGCCCATCAAAGAGGAAGGAAAAAATAGTTGTTTCGGTCTTGGTTGGCAGAATATCGTCGAAAAGCTTATACATGAGAATATTTTTGGTGATAATATTGTCTTAAAAATGTTTAAGAACATTTTCGCGTTTGTATAGTTAACAAAGCATCATAGATGCGCGATATCTAAACAATATTTTAAAAAAGAAATATAGTTTACTTACAGTGAGGTCCGTCATATAAGTGACAGCTGGCAGGCTGTAACTATGCGGTGAAAGGACTGACCCTCCATCAGATTGCCTTGGCGCTGAGAGGAACGAGCTAATAGTAGAGGTCGAAAATGAAATGTTTTGCTAAAATTTCAAAATGTGATGTTTAATTGTCACAAATTCAATTTTGAGGAGTGTTTTTGAAAGTAAATTTCACGATAAAACCAATGGAACCGATCTTAAACTTTTTTGTTTCATATTCTCGAAAATTTAAGTTTTAAAAGTTTCCAGATTTTGTCCGACATCTCCTATTGACTCGATCCAGTGTGCAGCGATACTCAAAATTGCCCTCTCGATGATTCAATGAAAAAAGAGGAAAAATAAACAAAACTTGTAACTGATAGAGAAAAAAAAGGAGGTGTTTGCATCTTGCCGATTTTTTTCCCCGTGACGTAGGTCAGTGCAGCCTGGCCAGCAAAATCCGGAATTTGAAGTACGAAAAACGGAGCAAACGAGTAACGTAAGATTTTTTGCTTAAATCAACTCATGATAAAGTTTTAAACTTTTAATACAGCATGAATTTTTTTCCATAAACTACACCGTTTCCAGGAAAATCGATAGTAAAACTCGTGCGTACCGACCTACGTCATAAAAAAATCCAAGATGCCTGAGATGCAAACATCTCCATTTTTCCTCTATGGCTGTAGCTTGGATTTTACCTGCATTTCTAGTGTCATCCCAAATCATAGGACCCCTAGGGCCGTCCCTGGGTTGGCTTGGATCACTGGAGGCCGCATTATTTGGATCTTGGCCTTGGTCCGACCGCACTTTACTATCCTCCATTCCGAGTTCACTCCCAAAATACACGCTCGCTACCCCAGGTAAGAGGAGCGTGAAAATGTTGTACGAGTCCACACTTTCAGGATTATATCGCGTGCTTATTCGAGGATTATCGTGGTTGTCCAGCTGAAACGAAATTTTCAACTTGCATGTGGACGTACAAATTCCGAGCAACACATTCAGAGACAAGAGACCCACCACTGGTCTCTTGGCGACAGGTGAAAGCTTTTACTTTCAGGGATTCAACAGTTCTTTATGGACAATTAAGGGAGCAACAGTCATCACTCTAATTTCGGCTGTTGGCCTACCTACATGGTGGATGATGAGCTTCTGGTGACGTCATGAGCCAAACAAGTTTCCCAAACTTCAGCCATTTTTGGCTTGTTTGTGAAACGAAACTGCCAACACGTTGCTGAACATCAACCATGTAGGTAAGTCAACAGTAGAATGCTGAAGTTCCGAAAGTAATGGCCAAGATACTAGTGGAGGGTCTCTTGTCTCTGAACACATTAAACCAAATCTTCTTTATACATATAAAATAAAATGGTTAGCGTAATGCTCGGAACCTAACTCCCTCAGCGTAACGCTAAGCGTGTCCGCTACTCCTTATCGGCCAGGGAGCATAGCCCCTTAGTTTTATTTGAAATGTATGATTTATACTTGAATCAGTGAGAGCGAAAACACACCAACTCGGTAATACTCATAAATGCTCAATTTTCATCAAACAGAGTTAGTTTTCATAAAGGTCATTGAAGTCAGCGCATCTGTTTCAACTTGGACCTTTAAAATTTCCTTAAATTGGGTTAATAACGACCCATCGAAGTTTTTAACTTTGAGTGTTAGTGTAAATTGGGGAATTTCATGTGTTCAACACAGGAAAATCCATATCTGGGATATAGGCAAGCCTAGTTCATTTTTGTTGTGCCTCAACTTGTGTTTACCCTGTCCACATAACGTCAAAAACAATAAGTAAATAAAAAATCAATTTAAAAAAATAGTTTTGAGCATTTACGGGTTAAGTACTTGTCTTTCGGCACCAAACATATTTTTCTTGTGCTAACTTCTTCAACTCCTGTGCAGTTTTGCGTGTGTCTTGATTATTTTCATTTTTTCAAGTTGGTGTGTTTTCGTTCTCACTAATTCACTTATGATGATCATCGAATTCTTCACCATGAACTCTCAAATTTTTTAGATTTTCATGTTTTGTCCGTATTCATGCTAGAAAGCAACCGGGCCGATTTATGATTTTCAGATTCTGTCAGCTAATAATCTCCAAATCGACGGCGTAAGTCTGTAATCACATATATTGTTTGCGGTGTCGGAAAATCTCCGCCTCTATGTTATTTTTTTAAAGGAGAACACTTATTGGCATCATTCCTTGAAGTTTTTGCAGGATTTTCTTCGCACAGAGAAGAAAAATAACGGCAGTTTTAAAGAATTGCTGTTGAGTAGTTGTCCGTTTAAAACAAAAAGTATGACAGGAAGTCTGCGACGTCACAAACCGAGTTATGTGATTGTCGACTTACATCGTCGATATTTTCCTTTGATACATATTTTTTTCATCAATTTAAATGAGAGGAATCCATGTAGTACGTGCAAACATTAAAAAATCATAAGTTGAAAAGCACTGACTGCGAGTTTAAATATTACAGCCAAACAGCGCGGAGCGGCGCGCGGCGTGCTACCAGCGCGAGAGGCTCACTGGCGCCTACAAACCTAAGTGGATACTCCACGCATTGCGCAATGTTTGAAGTATCCACTTAGGTTTGTAGGCGCCAATGCGCGTTTCGCGCTGGCCGCCTGCTCGCCGTGCCGATTTTTAGTAGTTTTCCGTATAAAAAATTAAATATGACGTCGCAAGCCGAAATGCGTCGTTGCGGACTTACAACGTCGATATATTTTAGAAATAAAAATCCCCCGTAACAATCTACGGAACTTAATCGAATGAAGCAAAAATCGAATTCGAAGACTATTTTTCGCGCAATCATGGTTGATGCGCAACTTGCAGAGTAAAATATTGAATGATTGCCGACTTACACCGTCGAAATGTGCCCATTGTCTTCAATTTTCGGGATTATGACGGATACACGACTATCGGTTAATTTGACCAGAGATTTTGTTGATTTATTAAATCGCTTTGTTGATCCAACCGAACGGAAATTAATCATAATACTCAAAGGCACGGACATTTTTAACTGTGAAGGTTCCCTGAAAATTTACAGAACATCATTTAAGTGAGAATCGAAAATCAGCTCACCAACCAGTTATAGTGACCATCGGGAAAATTATCGATCATTTCGTGAACTATGTCATTCAGTCTTGATGCGTTTATCTGGTAATGCATGTGGTAAACCATCAGCATGTAATACGGGACGTCTGCTCCAGGATGTGTGTCATTGCCTAGGTATTTTTTCAACATGCTAGGAGGGCAGTAAGCCTCGACTGTCATTGCTCTGGAAATCAAACAAAGTTCATTGTACTGAGCACTATTACTACTACTCACTACTAAATCTTCAGATTTACACCGAATAAAATGCCTTAATTCAGGAAAAAGGGATCCACTAACCCAGAAATGATTATCTTACTATATCTGGTCAAACAGGAAGTATAGTTAAAATTAAAAAAAAATAAAAAAATAAATAAAGTGTTTACCGATGATGAGCCGTAGCTCAAAACGCCTCTGCCGTCATAGAATTTCATCGCAAGTGAGTTTACAATTTTTTTTTTCTTTTTTAAATTTCAATCTCAATTTCAATTACGTGACTTGTGCAGAAATAGCTCCCTCATTTTATATTAGGAATTATTTTCATCGCCTATTTAACTAGAAAATATGAAAACACCAAAAAGTACCAAAAAACACACTAAACTGTAAGTAGCAATTTTAAATTTAAAAAGATCAACCCTTAAAACTAATTCCGGAAGCCCTGGTGGGATGGCATGTATAGAATACTAAACTTACTTGGTTTGACCATGTTTCTTCCCATATTCGGAAAAGAAAGCGCTCCAAGTTTTTATCAACTCATTGCTTTCCGGTAAATCCATGGTGTAAATGTGCTTCACGTTCATCCAATCGTTCTGAAAATTGGCACCAGGTATTGACGGCTCATCTTGTAAATGAGTTGCCTCGAAAAAATGCCTGGCCGCATCTACGCGAAATCCATCCACTCCCATGTCCAACCAAAATTTTAGTGCATCCTGAAAAAAATTCTATTTAACTATCTCATACGGATAATAAGTTTTAACTTTTCATAAACTGTAAAATTCAATGAAGATTTTACATTAATTTGAACCGTTCTTCCTAGAATCACAAAAATGGCCGCAAGTAACTCCTTTATTACTCACCGAAAGCAAAATGGATAACAGAAGCGGATCCAGCACTTTGGCAAAACTGGTTTTCATCCGTTTAAACCTATGTTAAATAATCGATTCTTGTCGGAGCACCTTGCTCCTATAATCGATACAATTCCATAGGTTTAAATGAGGAAGAAACAATGTTGAAAAATGTGCTTGCTGATCCGCCAATGATTGAAAATGAGTCGAACAAACTTACCTCCAACTCTTTTAAAAGGTTTGGATTACGAAGATTTAGTTCTGGTTGTTGAGGAGAGAACTGGTTATAAGAATACTGCTTCCTTTCTTCCCTCCATGTCCAAGCAGAGCCACTGAAAAGACTGCGCTGTAAATAAAGCATTAGGATATTTTAATACAGGCATCTAAAAGTAAAATCAAAACTTTTAATTTCTATATCATATGAAAATAAACAATGAATGAACTAGTGTACTGGATGTATCCTTCAACAATTTGTATTATCATTTTCCCCCTTCCCTTAGCCGCTAATATACGTTCCACGCCACTGACCAACTGCACTGCGTTTGGTGCAATGCGAGAAGTATTCATGCAGTCTTGTAGGCGCTAATATCGACCGTTCTGTTCGGCGTAATGCGTGAAGTATCCTTACAGTCTTGCAGGCGCTAATCTACGTTTAATGCCGGCCGTTCTGTCTTTAGCGTGATTATTCGAACTCGCGTTAGAATAGTCAAGGCATCGAACAATGGAGCTAAAAAGGTCCATGCTGTGTTTCGACGCCGTATGAGAATTCCAACGTTGCCTCGTTTCTCCCGAATAAATATTTTTTTCAGAGCAAACTTGGGAAAGTTCTTTATACCCACGACTATTATTCAATCTTTTCTCTTCATTTATCATCAGAGGGTAAGACATCGATGACTTGTCAACCAACTAACCTAAACTAGCATTAACGTAAAAGTGCGTTCATTTTCCGACTGTTCCCTGTTTTGCCAAAATCTCTACCTTAAATTAACTTCCTTTTAAATTCGCACATTCCTGTAGCAGATGTTAAGGTTTCTATTCGCGCAATCCTTGTGCCTTTTTCACGCAATCCTTATATATTTTCTTAGACCTTTTGCGCAATCCTGGATTACCGTTGAGCACAGCCCCCCCCCCCCCCCCCCCCCCNCTTAGCTTTTTACTGGTACTCATTAGAGCTCAATTTTTTTTTATTCTAATTGAAAGTGTAGAACTTTTTGGTCTTGCCTTCTCCCGAAAACAGTCTGGACCCAGTAATTTTTTATCACCATATTAAAAGTTTAAACGCGGTCTCTCGATAGTACATACACACCCCTCGGCGACATCAATTCTCTAAATTATGATAATTTGAATATTTTTAATTCACGTCATTCTGTATCTAAACAGATAGTTACAGTTTCTGGTCGGGGAATGGAATTTTGGGGAAATTGTGTGCAATAAACATACTTGAAAATCCTTCAAATGAACAGATTTGTCTGTATCATCAACATAATTTTTATTCTTCTCTTCTTTCAAACTTTTTTCGAGGTTATAAAAATGGCAAGTGTGAGACTAAGCCTCTCTGATCGGTCAAATCACGTGTCTCAAGGTTCTAAGTGCTAATTTACATTGTATTGAATGTTAATGGTAGAAAGGCTTAAGTTTTCTGATAACTATTATTAAGGTATATTCATTTTGAGGTTCGGGTATAATGCATGATTGAATAACTTTTCGGTGTGTTGGCAAATTTACCCAGTTATTCGGATACGTAGAGTGCGTATCGTTGATTTTCTTCGCATCTTTGTAAATGTAGTAGTCCTTGTAAGGCTCGACTCCTTGCAAAGATAATTGAAACCACTCACACAGATCACTTGAATGATTCGGCACAAAATCTAGGAGCAATTTCATCCCTGGTATAGAGGAAAGAAAGAAAACAAGGTACAAATGTTGAAATTTTCTAGAACAACGTTATCAGGAAATAAGACCACGGAAAAAATTACCGGTACTAAGGTACCTCGAAGAATTTTTATGGGACAAATAGTTCCCATCAGTAAGAGGCTTAACAAAATTAAGACGACCATAGAATATGTGGCCACTTCAGGTTTTATAATAAAAAATACGGCACCTGAGGTTATCGAGTCTTAATTATTAACCTCTTTCCGATTGTTTACAAAAATTAACGAGAGTGGCCAAGATTGTTAATGGATACCATCTTGTCTCAGTCAGAAATTAAGATCATTCACATCCTAAATAGCAGTAATTGCAATAAGTTGCGATTTGATCGGAGATTTGTATCGCTATTTTATCGACTTCAATTTATTGCAATATTATGGGATAAAAAGTTGCAATAAATCACGATTTCATCTCATAAATTTGCGATAAAATCGCGATTTTATCAACGGAGATTCATCGCATAATATTATCGAACGAAAAATTGTGATAAACTCAGATAAAAATTCGATTTCATAGGAATAAAATTACGACAAGATCGAGGATAATCGCTCAAATGTTGATGATGCTAGCGGTTATATCGCCGAAAAATCGTCAAAAAATGTATTGCAACTAAATTTCAAAATATCACGATTTTTTCGTTCACAAATGCCGCTCGGGATACGTATTTCTTCAGAGAAAAAAATCGCATAAAATTGAGAGCGGTAACTAGATTTCTAAATGTGTATAGGATCCCATTCGAGGCAATCTAGTAACCTGCTCTACATCGATTCTTGACCAGATCGTTGAAACGATATATCGAAAGAACATCGAAAGAGAGCATACTTGAGGGAACTCGAATCAGATTCCGTAACCTAGGGATCATAATTTAGATACAGTATTAAATGAACACTAGCACACTAAGAAAAAGTTACATTCTCACCTCTGTCATGTATTCCTTTGACTAGCTCTTGAAAGTCATCCATTGTTCCAAACAATGGATCGACCGATTTATAATCGATGACGTCGTATCCCATGTCAAACAAAGGCGATTTGTAGAAAGGCTGGATCCATATCACGTCAACGCCAAGATCTTTGACGTAATCTAATTTTTCATAAACTCCTTGTAAATGAACATACATATAATAATATATAATAAAATTCCTTGGAAACAAACATACATATAATAATAATATATAATAAATACCATCAATTAATTTACTTTGAAATGGAGAATCTCGTAATGTCATTCTCTAGTAGGATTTCAGGGGGATATCTTGTTCACAGAGTATTATGGTTTAACCAAAATGACACTTCATGGCTCGCGGCAATTATACTTTCAACTTTTCAGACTTTTCTTTTGTATTTTGATAAAACGTTGTAATATATGGAAGAGAATTGATACGTATTTTTTTATTATTATATTAATTTTAAAATGACGGAACTTTTTGAACGATATTTCAGTTGGAATTTCTAACTGTTAACATGACGTTAGGCCAATGTTCTCTTGTTGCAGTCCAAGAAAATATTGTTTTTTATGCACTCTTCGATAAGATCCGTTGTAAACCAATATGCTATTTTGGGTGTCACAGAAAATTGTAGGCATGCATTGTCAGACCACAATCAGAGTATAAAAAATATGATGCTGAAAATATTGGTCATACTCTATGGATCACAATTTAATCACTCTCACAAAATAAGTCATCAATTTAAAATTTTTCAAATTTACCGTAGCTCAATGCTAATTTCTCAATTTTTCAGAATTGAGAAACTCAAGATCGGTTGGTTACAAATATCAATACCTCTGAAACTATGAACTTTTTAATTTTACGCATGATATAATATGCTAACGCTCTTCGTCAACAAAAAATAAAAAAAAATTGACGAAGTTTGCAAACGAAGTACCTAGTTTGCTTTCAGTGAAATCATGGTGAGTATCCATTCGCTGGAATCTATTGAAATCTCGTTTAATCGATGTAAATGACTGAGCTATACCTCGGAGATCACCGTATCCATTGCCATCTGAGTCCTTGAATGATAGAGGATAAATTTGATAAATTAGGCTTGTATGTCGCCAGTCAAGCTTATCATGACCTTGAGACTCTCCCAAAAACGTTAGCAGCGTAACGCATGAGGTGACAAGAAAGGTGAACATTCTTCAAACCCAGAGGAAATACTGTAAACTATAAAATTTCTTACAAGTTGTAACCCTGTCAATTCAAAGTCTTCAATCTGAAACAAATTAAATTTAAAGAAATATTGACTGTTTCAGGGGAGAGGGAGGGTGGGAAAAGAATGGAAAGTGTATCTTCGTTCTTTGTGTAATTAAATGAAGACAACGAAATGAAGTGCGCAATTCGTGCTTACTCGAAAAGGTGATCTTGGCCATATTTTCCATTTTGCTACCCTAATTAAATCCGCTAAAATGAAAACCGAAGAACTATTTCAGAGAACCAAAAAATATCAACTAAAAACCTTACTAAATGAAAAATTACGATCAAATGATAACAATCGGTTAATATGAATACGGAAAATGAAACTTATTAGAAGATTAGATAAATCACATAATTGAGTATAAGAAAAAAAACTGCGAAAATGACATTAAGAAAACGAATATAACTATATCTTAATCAAAATTTAATTATTTCTAAGATAAAGGCAAAAGTTGGATATTTAAAATTTTATTTGTCAAATTTTTAGCTCAATCGGTCACGTGTAAATTTTAAATCAAGGAAAGTTACAATGCGCTTGAAAGAAAGCAAAAACACGGATCATGAAGTCTAGCATAAACATCTAAAATAATACAAGAATGAAATCATTGACGTTTCCAATTTTCAGTATTTATTACCCTAAATGACCATATAACGATGAAAGTGAGATTTTAGGTCAACATTTTTATTTGGTAATATGTTTTTGTGGGTTGACTACTCTGCGTTATTAAATCTAATCTTAAATGTGGCAAAATTAATCCAAACTGATCAAGTCTAAACGATTGTCAAGCCACTACAAAAATTTTTGGGAAACTTTAAAACCTAAGTATAGATGCATTATATTTGCGCAGGATATAGTTTAACGTGGACACGTCTTACCTTCCAGATTTCTCCCTGAAGACTTGTTACCTCCGAGGGTTTGATTGTTATTCGTTGTGGCACCTTGCTAGCTTCTGAAGTTTAAAGGATAATGTTTATATTATATATTTCAATCAATATTTGCATGTATCTGGAGATTGCAATATTTGCATGCATCTGGAGATTATATTATAAAGATGCCGAATTGCCATACATACTCGAAATGTCCAGATAACAATGACTATTCATGCTTTAGAGAACGGTGACATCATAATACAAACGCCTATTATAATTTTGACATTGTAAGTAGTTATCTTTCTTGACCGTAAATACGTGCGTACTTCATTGGTGGAGTGTTTTGATTAGATTCTAAGAATTCTGGGGAACGTGATAAAACCTGTCCATACCGTATCACACAAATTTTATGGGAAAGGGAAACACAACATTTCTGAACTGCTATGCATTGTCTTTGTTTCCCCTGTGAAGTGGTATGGACCCAGCACTTTTTCACCACCTAATTACATACAGTTCGGGCCATTTTTTAGATTTTTTTCAAGTTTGTGCACTTAGGTAAAAGTTTATTCATGTAAAGATATCATGCACCCATCTCTAAGTAATGTCAGGATAATTATCCTGAGCTGCATCAATTACTGTCACTCAACGATCCTCTTTTTGTAAAAAAATAATTGTTTAGTAAAATCACCTTAACGGAAGAAAATTTCCCGGTCAGCGGTAAAAAGTTCATCTGGTAAAGTCACCCTGGTGGGATTAAGAAGATTTTCTGGAAATATATAAGATACCGACGAATAACACCTTATTTGACGGTGCGGTACCTATAAATATTAATGTTTTAATTATTGACAGTGCGGTACCGACAAAAAACATGTTGTTTTTTTCTGCGCCTTGCTGATGAATAGCTACTTGGATAATTTTTACCACAAAAATATCATTGTGAGTACGGCTAGGAAAGTAGGTGAGACATCATACTATGATCATTGTAAGAACAATTATTCCTTTTTCCCGAGAATACTTCCTAGAAAATGTTCGATGACGTAGAATATTAACTCGTATGAAAACCAAAGAGAGTCCGTTCAACAGCAGTCATATTTAACGTAATTTTAATATTAAAATACTGTAAAATTGTTGTAAATTTAATTAGAAGTGTTGATTTAACCAACAATTTAAAGCAGATTTTTTAGTTTGATATTAATTAAATAAATAGACTTGAATAAAAAGATCACACGTCTCAATACCATAACATGCTTCTCGCCCAGCATCAAACTGTTCATCTTGGGGGTTTTCTTTTCCCCACATCTTCGCCTTTCCTTCCCGGCTCCTAACAACCACATCTCATTATTTGCTGAGATTTCGCCCTGCTTGCGAAGCGAGTTTTGCAGCGGAAACGGTCCAGACGCCGCCCCCACCCCCTCCTCCCGCCAACCTTTTTGTTCCTTGCGTCAAATCCGACGTTAAATTGACAATACATAATTTCACGACATGTTCGGAATGAGCTTATGCGGGACCCCTTGACGGGAACTTAAAGAGGGTTCCGTCTCAAACATTTGATGGCGAGCAAACGTGGAAGAGTGGATGCATTCTCTCACATGCCATGTTTTCCCTTAAATTGACCTAATAACGTCTGTAAGAGGTAAGAGTAAATCGAGGCAATCAGTGAAATTGCGAATAAATATTGCAATAATTCTAAGCGATTGATTCTAAAGTGCGCGAAGTTCTTAAAATTGGACAATTTAGGAACGTTGCAATTTTCTGCGCAAATATTCGGTGGTCAGACAGCGAATTCTGGACGAGTATGTATTTAGTACGTTGAAAATCATACTTAAGAATTCTTAATATGGACTTATTTCTGCCAAACGGACCTATGTGTATTATGACGTGAGCCCTGATGTGCATGCATTCTTATGGGTCTCAGGGCTCATGTCTTAATGCACATAGTTCCGTTTGACAGAAATACGTCCATTTAGGAGCACTCGGAGGTTTATCCACTCTTTTAGGATTATCTGTTGATGACTAACAAAAAACGACGCAGTGGCATGGCGTTACTGACAGGAGACTTAACTCTTATTTCCGTCATTCACATTTTCAAAGTCAATGGTTGATATCAAGAGATGAGTTTAAGTCATGAACTTTTAGGAGTCACGCCATTGAATGGATCATAAAAAAATACTTTTATTCGTTTAATTGTAGCATAACACATAATTTGCCTCATGCCAAGTTTTAAAAAGAGTGAGAATTGAATGAGTAAATAAAAAGCACAAACTGAAGTGTATAAATAAATAATTCAATTTTTTCATTCATCCATTGAAAAAATACACACTTTATCAGTATAATAGTCTGAAGCACCCTGTTGACGGGTTCGCATTTCGCATGTCATCCGATAAAAAATAGCATGTAATAATAACTGTCTATTCTTCTTTCTGTCCATGAAGCAATACTTTAAATATTTCGGATTAAATTCGATACAATATAGTAATTATTGTTATTCTTTTCATGAAATTAATTAAGTCCTAATTGCAAATTCATTGAATCATACCTACAACACGCTGTCTGCACACGAGGCATCATTTCAGAAATTGTTTCAGCTGTATGTGATTTTTGTCCATGTGTTTTCGGGTGGACATTCATACTGGTCACTTACATGCATTTACATCTCATGCACTTGTAAGCCTAAAGCCAGGAACAAACGAACGTGTTGTTGATAGAAATACCGGAACTCTGAAAGCAACTATTTCAACTTGAGAGCAGTATAAGTTGCATGTTCCAAAAATGAAGGCGCGCTTTTTTTCCTCGAGTATGGAACATGAGAGGATCGTTTCAAAGCGTGAATTTTTTACGGCTGAAAATTTGCGGTTAGTGGAACTTGAAGACATTATATTCACAAAAATTATTCGAAAATGTGAGTTGGTTCCTTTCTAATAAACTCGGTCCAATTGACGTTGCATAGAGGACTCGAATTATTCCTCAATTTCGTCTCTCAACGAACGATGAAATTATAAAATGTATTTAATAAAAAGCTAAAACCTTAGAAAACTTCAATTTTTGGCGTGTATAAGAAAGGACGCATGTTCCCCAAAAAATAAATTGCCCGTCTGTATCTTAAAACGAGTGACAGGTACGTTACTGAAATTTGTCAAGAGGTTTGCCCCCTTTCTGCTGAACTTGGTCTAATGCCAAAGCAGGCTCATCTTATTCAATAGGTGCTCCAAATCTCTTCTATTCATTATGCCTTTCTGATGTGTCATATTCCAAATAATGAAAATCAAGTGTGTAATTACATCATACACTCAGTTCCTCCCACACTCAGGAGGCACATGGGTGCCTTACCTCGGCAATTGAACTCACAAAGTAAGTACTGGTACTTGAGGCATTGTGAAGAGGAGCGTTTTACTGCGAGTTTTGGGGAATTGCTAATTTTCAGTTTTTTGTGACACTATAAATTTCTTTACAATTATTTTCAAACACGAAAAGATGGCAAAAAAGAGAAACGTACGGCACGAACGAGTATGATATGCGTGAAGCGTGAATATGACTAGAATTATTATACCAAATAAAATTATTAGTGTCTTATTTTATTTAAAACGGTGCTCAGGACTTCCAGTGTTACAACGACGCAAATATTTAATTTTTGGGCAGATTGGCATAACAAACTGACTTATCCCCACAATTTTCTTTGATTCCCTCTGTTTATTGTGAGCAACCACAATTTGGTCGCAGGTTTGAAAAAGAATTTCATTAATATATCACCTCTATGAAACGACCATACTTTATAATTTTTAAATGTTCAATAGATCAATCAGCTACCAATTGAACTTGGTTAGAGTCCTAATCTCCATCCGAGTCCAAATTAAAACCATCGCTCTAGTTTTTGCCGTGTCATAGGGTACATACAGGATACTTTTCAAGGCCCAGTCATATATATATATATATATATATATATATATATATATATATATATATATATATATATATATATATATATATATATATCGCAACACTGCTGTAAAGTTCACTCAAGTCAAGTACTTATATCTGAGTGTTGCAATTATTGCGTCTGTGAGTCCGAAAGATGAATCAGTGTTCCGCAGAATCAGAACATTGTCAAAAACATGATCAGGAAAAATCAGCTCAAAATACACGAATTTCGTCGCCAGATGAGGATATCATTGTGCATAAACCCAGAGATTATTTTTGTAGGCCAGCTATCATCAACTTCAAAACTGGCAGTGGCGGCAGTAAGTTCGCTTTAATTTTCCTCAAACTTATGAGGAGCCAGGTAAAAATTCCGGAAGTCCGATGGGCTTAAAAGCCTCATTGTGGGGAAAATCTCTACATGAGACAGTTCCTCAGGGGTCTCAGTTGTTGATTCCCCCCCCTCCCCCACAGATGTGTGGTTTTTTATTTTTTGCCAAAACATCGCGTGAGCTGTTGATTTCTCCCGCAAATGTGTGGCAAAGATCAACAGCAAATAGGTGTTTTCGGACTCAGAAAACATGATGTCGTGTGGTGCCACAATTTGTGGGGACAACCTCGGACTTTATCCGCGAGTTGTAAGCTATCAGAATACTTAAATTCGCACTTTTTCAAATGGTCTATTGATAAAACCATCATTACATTCTATCCATTATACTTATCATGAACTCTGAGATACCGAAAAACGAAATTTGGCGTAGAGGTGGCAAAGCCGCACAACGCCTAATGTTAAAGGTGAGACGAGTGGCGGAAAATTTCCGAAAGCCTTTAAGACCAATACAATAGTTACCACTCATAAGAGGGGATCTGAGAGGGGATATTTACTGGCCCATTGTTTCATCAAATACATTTGACAAAATCTGTAGAATAGTCTGAAAAAGTAAGTACTTCAGTTTTACAAGTACGAGTGAATCGAGTACATAGTGATAAGCAATACGGCTCTCTTCCTAGTCGCTCAGAGGTATGTGTAATGCTAAAGCCTATAGTTTAAAAATCCTTTACGAAAGCATAGAAAACAAAAAAGAGTTTAATGCAATTAAGTGTGAGAAGCAGTATAGCTTAAACGGTCAGTTTCAAAAACCCGCTCAGTATTTTAGTCCCGTTGTTTCTTCGATGAGTAATTGATATGTCGTCGATAAGTGGTTAAACCGGTAGGACGACCATTACCGCTGTCTTTACCATATCGACAGTGAAACTACCAGAAGATGAAATCTTCTTTAGTTCTTATGCCAAAATTGGAATGAGGGACTATGGCCCCTAGAATGTAATAAACAAATTGCAATGAATGAGAAAAAAATATCTTTATTAACCTGCATTCGCACAGTTACAAAAACCCACCCTGTATTTTAGTCTCATTATTGTTCCTTCGATGAGTGGTTGATATGTGGTCGATATGTGGTTAAAACTGTACGACTGCCATTACCGCTGTCTTTACCATATATATCCGGTAAACAGCGTTAAAAATATAGCAAATATGGAGTAAGTTGCCGCTGTTCCTTGACTGGTGTTCAAGACCAACCTTGAAAACGGTCTCAACCGAGGGCACCCAGTTCCGTCAACGTTTCTTGTACTTACTTTACTCCTAAGACAAACAAAAATTAAAAAAATAAATAAAAATGAATTTCATGTTTGCGTCATTTTAAGTATTGATTGCCGAGAAAATCTATTATGCTATCACTGAAATTGTCCGTTGCGCATGTCTCAGAATCATATTTTGATCGCTGGACCTTCAACGATAGAAAAACGACCAGTAAATATCCATTTAAGTTAAATGTTAAGAAAAGTGAATGGATCTTACAATCAAAAGAAATCGTTGCCGACGCATTTCTTGCATTAAATATATAATTTTGATTCCGCTTAGGTGTTAGGTTTACAACGCTCTCGTTAAACCACAAGTATTATAGTGACTGTTATTTGACTATCATTGAAAATAAGAATGACGTTTGAACTACTGACATGAACACGGAAATATGGATGATCATAGATGTAATTATGTGAAATATAAAAAGGATGAAATCTCAAAATGAATTAAATTTACCCCTCTTGGATGCCTGATTGAATACTGCTCGTGTAAACAAACATTGTATCCGGTAATGTTGATGCAGAATTTTTGGCGCAAACTTCTTCAGTTTCGGATCCTAGGTTCATTAGAACTGCCACAGTCTCAGTTTCCAAAGATCTGAAAACATTAATGTTATTATTTATTTATTTTCTTCAAAATTTATCTTGTCTCCGTGCTATAGTCTTAGGGCGTATCAAATCCTCTGAAACCAATACACATATAGAAGTTCAACGTGATAGCTGAACTCTAGATTTTTCCTCTAATTTTGTTAATTTTTTGCACTTGCTGATAATATTTCTTTTGTATACTTTTATACTAATTCTAGTCGAGTATCCAGATTTTTTGGTTTTGCAAGAAATATTATAAAGTAATTGAATTAAAAAATACGCATGTAGCACGTATTACGCATAAAATAGAAGAGCAGATTGCCAAAAACGTTCCAATTTATATTCTTTTCTTTTTCTATATAATTTTTGACGTTCTCATTACAAAAAGATTCAGAGAACTTCGGTTATATGGCCGAGTTGTTTGTTGGTGTATGCAATTAAAAGATAATTAATTAATTAGACTAGAGTTTTAAAAGTCTTAATACATCATAAATCACGATCTGCTTAAAGCTTTTTAAACTAGGTTTTGATCGTATCCAGGTGTATTTATTCACACATGTGTGGACGGGGCAGCAAGTCTTGTGGGACGTTTTGTACCTATAATGGACCACTAGACAAGGTACGAATTTAAGTATTCTGATACATGTATCTTAACCAGACTTTCACGTAGAACCCGATTCACACTATGAAAATTACCGAAATCAACTCCTAACGAAGATATTAACGTTTTTATTTCACATTGGTTACGAGGAATTTGAACTGCCCGCTCACAAGAAACTCAAAGCTCTACGTGAGTCAAATCGCGCACTACAACGGTTTCAGCAAGCTTCTCAATCGAGCAATGTTCATTTTCCACCATGTGTTGTTCAGACTCTTAGTAATTTGCTATAGCTGAGCCAAATATTCAAGATTAAAGTTGAGGATTTTTACATCGCAGAGACTGTCATGATAAACATTTAGCGCGCAATGTGATTCACGTAGAGCATTGAGTTTTCATGAGCGGGTGGTTTGAATTCACGCATCAAAAATCATTAAATATCTTCGTCAGGAGTTGATTTTGGTAATTTTCGTTGTGCGTATCGTGTTTTACGTGCAATTTTGATAAAGAAACATGTATCAGAATGCTGAAATTCGTACCTTGTATAGTGGTCCATACTAGTTCACGTGGGTTGAAATTATTTCACAACTTACCTGGTGAATATGTATACCCAATCCCCGTGCATGAAAGTGTGGAAGTCACCGTGTTGAATGACCGGCGTTTTTCTTAATTTAGTTAGACGTTTGAAAACGTTCAGATGGCTAATAGGATTCTCCTTTTGATTTTTTACGTTCTTTCGATAGTAGTTCGGGTTAACTGGCAACCACGGTTTTTTTGCCGTCGTAAAACTTAGAACAGATTTTGCGGAAAATCAAACGCAATATAAAAACGGCTGTAACAGGTTGCGTTACCACCACACTTCTCATTCATTACTTTAAGTTATTTTTACCGCAGCTGGTCATGAGCCTGTAACGACTGATGCTCTTTTGATCATCATTGTTAAGGTGTTTAACTCAGAATTTTTTTTTAGAAGGCGCAGGTGATTGAAATCAATTAAATGACTCTTGATCAAAACTTTTGAATTTTTTTTTTTTTTTTTTTTTTTTTACGTATTTGAGGATCAATGCCCCCAGGGACGATCATAATTTAGTTCTGCCAATTTCTTTTTACTTCTTAGTGTACATCATAAATATTAATATTTAGTGATGATTTCCTTTTAATTTTATGAAAAAAAAAAACATTGGTCCCATTTGATTCTGCACGCTCATTCTGATGGCTATTTCGTCGCTATTTTCGGCCAAAGTATCACAAGCGCCCTGGGATGTTTCAAAATTTTCGCTGCCATTTTATTTTTTTACAGAGAAATTTTTGGTTGAATCTGGTTGCAAATTTCACTGAATTTTATCGGTCACACAAGGAAAATTCAGTGAATTTCCAGTCAGATTTGTCGAACAATTTCTCTGTGTCGCGTGGCGCTTGTGATACTTTGGCCGGAGTGTGACGATGTGTTACCTGCATTAGTGGTGTCATCCCAAAGCATCGGGCCCCTCGAGGCATCCCGCGTCACGGTTGGATCTGCGAGGCCGGCGTTCTGTGGGTCTCGTCGTTGGTCCCGTCGTGTTTTTATGTCCTCCAAACCGAGTTCACTTCCGTAATAAATAGTTGCAACTCCGGGTAGGAGCAAAATGAAAGCGTTTAACATATCGACACTTTCGGGATTGAATTTGGTCGACATACGGGGATTATCGTGGTTTTCCAGCTGTAACATGATAGATTAAACAGGAGTGTTTCAGGAGGTGCCAATTCCCTGATGTTCTCTGGGAGGATAGGGGGCAATGGCCATTGAGCGTCGCAGAGCGCGAGGCTGCGCAATGAAAGCGGCTTAATGTATGTGTGTTTCTTATTCTACGTATTTCGGCGATGACACAAAAACGGAAGTAGCGGTGTCGCTCTAGCTGGATAATTTAAATTTTCAAATACTTACCAGAATTTGATTGAAAATTAAAGATTCAAGACCCTGTCAATGCAGCGAATAGAAGAAGAGAGGTTGTCGAAGAGGGTCGTGGATTACGTTCCCTCTGCATGCGGAAGGCGCCCAGTTAGATGGTGAGGGGATGGAATTGAGGCAGAAATGTTAAGATGCTCGATCCCCAAGGAGTTATGGTTTGACAGGGGACAATGACGATCAAGTGTCGTAGAGGTGCTAGAGAGTGCTATGAAGCGACATGTCCACATGTGGGCCAAAAGTAACTGAAAAGTGTCTATGACTTTTGAACAAAAAGGGATTAAAGGTTCCGGTTTGGACCATTGCTCGTTGTGGCAAGGGGCTGATTTTTTAAGGGGGATTCATTTTTAGAGTTGCCCCCCGAAGGGATACTCGGAATTTTCAAATGTCAACCCCCGTATGTGACACATTATTGGAAAGAAGATAAAACAAGCAGAAAAATCCAACATGAATATGTTGGAAAAGCGTGCCGAATAACTAAAATGTTGGAGACATACCTACTATTTTCACGTCTTTGTCATTTGCATCAATTGGTACTTTTTGCTAAATTTGGGAGAAAATATTGATTCATGAACGTTGAATGTAAATTGATTTTAAAGATTCCGTCCAATTATCTTGATTTTAAGCTGATATGCGGCATTTCGCACGACCGTGATTTGGGCGAACTGCCGTGCATCGAAATCGCGTTGAGTTAATCTCTTTGGATTTCGAACTGTAACTTCTCTCCTATTCGGCCGATTTTTACAAATGAGGTCTCTTTTTATTTTTACTTTAACGGAAAGTAAGGAAAAACTCGCTAAATAGACGGAAAACAATTTTTGTGAAAATTTGGTGGATCCTGGCGTCACGGTGAATGGTTAATCGGGCGTGGAAGATAATAGGTTCGACGAGGCGACCCTCTCCTCGCCGTCTTTTATTGCCTTGCTCGAAACCTGACACCCAAAGCTATATCGGGAGATAACTGCAGTGGTTTGAGTGGATTTCTGCAGGGGCCACGGTTAGTACATGGTATAAAGAGTCACGAGGCTCATCACAGATTGCACTTGCAGTGCAAGACGCTCATTGGCTAAACAGTTTTGGCGGGAAAGAAGGTTCTAGAGTTGAGTCCTCCGAGCGCAAGAAAGCTTCTATGAGGTTTTTGTCAAATGAAATAATACGGTTTTGACAGGAAAATGTTCTCAAGGGTTCCCAATTAGCAGTTCATTCGGTTTTTTGGTAAGAGACCATCAGGGCTTGACAGTATAATGGTTCAAAGACAAGAAAACGGGTCCGAGGAAAAAAATATTTGGACGGCCCGTTGAATAGCATTGGTTGATCGGTGTGCTGTACTATGGTACATCCGAGTGATTTCAAAAAGCGAGCCCTACTGGCACGCTTAAAAAGAGGAGTGCTCGCTAGCGCAAACCGGAGATCAATCTAAATTTTCGTTCTCGAGATATTTACGATCAAAGTTCTATTTCGACCAATTTTCATTAAGTCAAAAGTCCTGTGATGTATTTCTCATGAGTTCGAAGGGGGGGGGCGCTTACCGCCTGAAAATGCGACATAACGATGTTGCTTTTTTGTATCTCAAAGCGCACTCAAAGTCATGTGTGCGTCGAAGTTTTGTGGCATGACAGCAGCCGGTGTCGTGACTTTGAGTGCGCTTTGAGACGAAGGATAAGGACACCGATAAGTCGCATTTTCGGCGACGACCGCCCATTGCAAACTCACGGGGAATACATCCTCAGATAATTCCGCCATGAGAGTAATAGTAGTTCTACGAATTTTAGGCCGTAGGTGGCCTCTTTGGAATTTTTCAGACGGGACTTATCAATTTTTGAAAATTGTTCGAAATGGAACTTTGATCGTGAATATCTCGAGAACGAAAAGTAGGATTGATCCTTGGTTTGCGAGAAAATCCCTCATTTTTTAATCTTCTTCGTAACGATGTGTCTCGATGGGAGGGGGAATGCTATTTGAAACTCTTGAGTCTGCTCACGGTCCATGTGGGCAGTAGTATAGCCTCACTTACCTCACAAATCACAAAAAAGTCAAACTTGACACAAAAATATGAGTGTTCCCCTGGATTGAAGCCCATATTTGCAATTGGGTATGAATAAAGCTGAACACAAATTAGGTATCTCTTGATGTCAGAAAGGACACCGTTCTCTAAATAGTATGTTCTTAAAATATCAGTTTCAATACTTTGAGTCGACTCTATTCGAAATTTTCACTCACCACCCAGTTGTAGTAACCCTCCGGAAAAACATCCGTCCATGCGCGTATCACTTTTTCGATCACTGTTGAATTTGACTTAAACGACAAGAATAGTAGAGGAAAGAAATTGAATGGAATATGGGCACCTGGATGTGTCTCATCACCGAAGTATCTCATGAGAGTCTCGGGTCTGTTATAATCTTCAACAGCCACCAATCTAAAAAACCCAAAAATCAGTGATTGATATTGTAGTAAGGAAGATGCCATTCTTGCAATTGAATTTTCTCAAACCTCCCCCCTCCCCTCTAAAGGCAAATCAGTATATTGAGCATTAATGCGCCTATCAAATTCAAATCATCAATTGTATTTTCTTTTTACGTTCTTTTTTTCACACGGAAATCACTCGATTGCCCATTTAGGAACGCTGTACTTTAATATTTTGAGTGCGCATCCTGATGCAGGGAATCCTGATTTTTATCAAGACGCGACTATTAGTGGTATTTCATATTCATATAATGGTTTTCTTTTCACCCTGTTTTGTGGGATTGAATCCTGTCACATTAATCAAAATCTTACCCAGTTGTTCGGATACGTAGAATGAGTGTCATTTAATTTTTTCGCGTCCCGATAAACGTAGAAATCCTTGTAAGGCTCGACACCTTTTAGTGACAGTTTAAACCACTCGCATTGATCACTTGAGTGATTTGGCACAAAGTCCATAATTAATTTCATCCCTGTTATAAAACAAATCGCGGTGAAACTACCAAACCACGTATCTCGGTTTGCGACGTCGCAGACTTCCTGTCATACTTTATTTTTTAAATGAAAAACTACTTAACATCCAGTCTTGAAAATTTCTGTGATTTTTCCTCTTTGTGCGGAGAAAATTCCGTGAAAATTTCAAGGAATGATATTGATTTGGTCTACTTCAAAAAAATAAAATGTGAGCGTAGATTTTTAAACACCGCAAACGAGATACGTGGTTTGGTAGTTTCACCGTCGAAATAAAGAATACAACACTGTAGGAAACTTACCGGTGCAAGAATTATTAGATAATGCTTACTTGGACGTATATCTGTGAAACCGAACTATAGACGAGTGGGAATTATGGGATGTTAGAGAGGATTTGTAGGGGGAATTTGGGGGATGATATAATGTGTGGGAGGTTTAAGGTGACTAAGATAGGTCACGGTCTATATTTTAATAAATGAAAAAAGTGATTATCGATTATCATTTTGTCCAAGTTTTTCTTTCTAACTTTCTTTTATTAACTATTAATTTTTTTGAATATCGACGGTGTAAGTCGGCAATCACATAACTCGGTTTACGACGTCGCAGACTTCCTGTCATACTTTATTTTTTAAACGGAAAACTACTCAACGGAAATTCTATTAAAATTGCCGTAATTTTTTTTCTCTGTGCGAAGAAAATTCTACAAAAACTTCAAGGAATGATTTCAATTTGTTCTCCTTTACAAAAATAACATAGAGGCGGAGATTTTCAGACACCGCAAATGAGACATGTGTTTGACGACTTACACCGTCGATATGTATATATTTCTATATAACATGGATATGATTAACAGATATCAAATTTAAAGATGCACAAGAAACAATGTTAAAGTGGATGTAATTCCCTTTGGAGCAATGGAAAAGCGGGATTTTACATTCTGTCAAACGGAACTACGTGCCAACTGAATACGGCACTCATGAGCCATGGGTAAGTGACAAGAGCGTTGTGGACGGGGCTCATGAGTTACTGATCCACACGGGCGATCGCGACGACGGCCTCGTTGCTGCTGACGTCACTGGCGCTTTATAATTCCCATTCATTCTTACGGCCCTTGACTGAGGAGCACATCCCTTCTTTCCCTCATGTCACTGGTTTCGTTAGGCAAAATTACGTCCAATTAGGTAATACCTTTCAAACTTCAGTCGTTTTTCCTTAGCATGGTAGAGTAAAAAATCACATATTGACATTCTGGATCCTTACCTCTGTCATGGACTCCTTTCAATAACTTCTTAAAGTCTTCCATTGTTCCAAAGAGAGGACCTACGGATCTGTAATCAGCGACGTCATATCCATTGTCGAGCATAGGTGATTTGTAGAAGGGTTGGATCCAAATCACATCCACGCCAATTTCCTTGACATAGTCCAATTTCTGATATATACCTGCGAGAGTAAGAAAATATTTCAAAATCGACCTCATCATAAAGCAATTAAAAGACTAAAATACGAGAATTTGGAACGATCGTGGGACAGATCTTTTAAATCGCAATTTTTTTTTTCCTCTCGTATTAGCTGAAACAACTGGTTTAAACTTTGAAGTAGCTTCGATGTAGGTTCTGGGTGGCCAAACAATATGGCATACATACATGGATATTTAATCTGTTTAAGGTGATTTGACGGTTGCCATTTTTTGTGTCAGAGCGACATGCGATATATCGCATCAATTCGTTCCATAATTTCAGCTCCTTGTCGTTTTTCTGGAATTTTGAGATCGCACTTATGTTGTCATGCGAGGCAAAAGAATTTATCACCAAATCTGATAAAGAAATTCAACGTATCAAAGGCAGGGTTTTTCCAGAGGAAAAATATTGCATTCGAGTGCAGTTTCGATATCAGTATCGAATGCTGTATTTTTCCTCTAAAAAACCCCTGCCTTTATTACGTTGAATTTCTGTGTCAAATTTGGTACATAAATTCTTTAATCTTATGACAACAGAAGTACGATCTCAAAATTCGAGAAAAATGACGAGTAGCTGAAATTATGGAACGAATTGATGCGATATGTCGCACTTCGCTCTGACACAAAAAGTGGCAACCGTCGAATCGCCTAAATAAGGATTTTACTTCATTTCCTGCCCATGTTTAATTTGTTCATGTTTTTATATTCAAGAATAATTGTAATGATACACTTTTAACGTTAGGTTAAAAGGTAAAAATTAAATGGACGCAGCCAATTTTGAGAGAGAGTGCACCAACTGAGTTCAATAAATATTATAACGGATAAGAGTAGTATCTTACGCACCATTAAGATCACCATAGCCGTCTCCATAAGAGTCCTTAAAAGACAAGGGATAAACTTGGTAAATTAGGCTTGTTTGCCACCAGTCAAGTTCCTTGTAGGCCTGGCTTCCCCCTGACAGGCTTATTACAGCAATAACGCACAAAAGAAAATAAACCATTTTTCGAAATTTAAAAAATTAGCTTTAAATGATAATCTGAAGGCACAATTTTGCTAAGTCATACACGAGTTTTATTTCTCTGAAAAATGAGAAGCATCACGAATAAAATTTACCTGTTGCATCCTCGGCGACCAAAAAGAGAGGAGTGGTGCAGTTTATATACTTATTTTTGCCGTCGCCTTCAATTTTGAATTCGGCCAAAAGGACATTGAAGTGGATTTTAATCCTCAAATATCGGTATTTTTGTATCATTAAAACTACAAGAAAGTGATGTCATGAAAGGCGGCGGGAGAGGAATCATTCGTCCTTCGATATTAAGCTTAGGGGAGGGACTAACTTAAATTTATTGGCCGAATTAAAATGTCAGGCGGATTATAAGTTTTTGAGAGGATTCTTTGAGTACGGAGTCTGGAATAGTCCAGAACACACCAAAAGTTCATGAACGGGTGTCCCAAGAGGTACGCAACTTTGGGGACGATCAGTGGCAGGTCACTCTTTGGGATGAATCGATCAATGCATGTGCTATTAAAAGCTGTAGAAAATTGTCTATTCTCAGAAATTTGCAACCGACACCCTAAAAATATTTTCTTCATCTCTACCATGAAAACAAATAGGAAAATATCGATACCCGTTGACTTACGTAAGGGGGGGGAGGGGTGATATTAAGTATCTTTGAATTTCAATTTGTGTTTTTAATAAAATTCCGGTTGCCGGTTGCCGGCAACCGGTTGCCGAAACAGCAACAGTTCTACAGAGAGCAACAGGAGCCAAAACTTTCAAAATTTTTGAGGTCTCAAATGCCGTCTCAAAATCGAAAAAAACTAAAAGTTATGATATTTTCTTAAAATTACTCTGAATGATGAGTAATTTACATCTCTTGTTTGTTTGTCACCGTCAATTCAAATTGCACTCATGTATTTTTGAAATTAGGTCTATTTCAAACTTTGACCGTGAATATCTCGGATTCGAAAAATCGGCAAAGCCTTTTCCGTACTCCAGGAGTGTTTTCTTTCAATCAACTTGCGAACGGTGTCATCAAAAACGGGGGTTGCCATTTGAAACTTTTTTGGTAGGAACCGCGCAGGCGCCCGGGGGTGGACCCCCGAAATTTTGCATTCGCAAAAATGTGGCTTACAATGACTTAGAAACATTCTTAAAATTTCATGTTTCTACGAGCAGCCGCTCAAAAGTTAGCCGACCGTCCTAGAACTTCTAGCCCACCCTTTATATTAGTGAGACGTGCTTTTGAGCATGTCAATAACGTTGATTTTGTGCCCACGGGATTGTAGCTATAGAATTTCTTAAATCAATTGTCTAGGTGGATTGTCGGTAGGTTTAATTCAATAGATGTATCTCGTTGTGAGCAAATGCAAATTGATGCTCCAAGAAACAATTAATACGTCTAGTTTCTAAATGATATGATTCCACTCTGGGTTTATTTTAAAATTTAGTAAAAAAACAAAATTTTAGGCCCAAATTGTTTCCAAACCGAGATCCTATAGCACAGATGCTATTCCTACCGTGCGTTGCCAGGGGTATATGTATCGGGATATCTCATAATCCGTCATCTCATTATGCGCAACCGAAAATATGTTATTTTTTAATCATCTGCAGAGGTTTCTTTACTATTCATTTTTTTGTTTTGTCAATTTCGTTTCAACTGAACAAATCGTTGGTCGAAGGAACGTAACTCCATTCCAAAGTTGCAAAACTGACTCACCTAATTTAATTTTTTAAAAGAATTTTTCCATGTAATTCTCCTCCAACACTTTTACTGTTTTTGCATGAGATCAGAGGGAAAATCAGTAAAATTTTCAGTTAGAAATGCCCAAGATTCTCGTAAGAATGCAATTTTTGTGGCGGAATTGGGAACATCGAAATATATTTACGTTCTTTTGTGCGCTAAACGACGAAATGTGGTATATTTTTGTGTATACCTGAAATACAAACAAGGTGGAGAAAATAATTTTGACTCTAATTGTTGGAATTTCCTGGCTTTGTTTTCCCCACGAAATGGTGTGGAGCACCATTTCTCCACCTTGTTACGTACAGTTTCGGGCTACTTCTTCGTGATTTATTTTTCACTTGAAATATAAAGTATTACGAATTTGATTTGAAAATTATTTACCGTCAGCATATTCTGGAGAAATTCTATCAACCTTATGATTCCTAAACTCTAATTGAGGAATTTTACGGAAAATTGGCGTATGAGACTTCCAACGCTGCTAATATTGGGCAACGTTGTTCTCTAGTTGTAAGTAACTTATCCGATAGTTTTGCTATGAATTTCTCCCTGAATGTGCTCCCCATTTTTCCTTACAATCGCAAGGAAGTAAGTCGTCTCTGTATGAATTTAATCTTCCGCGAACGCTGTAAAAAATTGCACAGACTTACGCACTCAAGCGTCTTACTTCTTTTTATCGGAAAAGTCCTCAATTAACCCTTTATTACACAATGATGCTTATTGGCAACATTTGGTTTTTTATTTTTTTAAAATCAGGATGTAGATGATTTTTTGATGTGATTGTTTATGCCGGTCGGCATCGGTATAGCGGATATGAATAAATTTTCCCCCACTCCCAATTCAGGGCTGCCAACTGTAAAAAAAAACGCTTTTTTGTCGGGTTGGTCGGTCTGAGAGTCACCGGTGAGGTCACCTCTTTCGCTGGTAGGTGGTTGGCTGCTCTGTGGTGCTTATGGGCTGGGAAAATTCATGCTGTTAGGTTGCTTTTTGTAGTTTTTTGATAGCCAGAATCATTACAGCATTATTACGCAGTTTTATGGAGATCAAAAAGCAAATGTTGCCAATCGGCATCACCGAGCAACTAAGGGACAACTTTTGAGTTTATAGGTCATGTTTACTCAAGTTATCGTGCGCGCGAGTACATGCGTTAAACGCGCGTTTCAGTCAGTTTTATTAGTTTTTGCCAAGGAAATGCTGTGTTGAGTGCCTGAAACAATGGTTAAAAATGAGGAGCGTTTGCGAATAGACAAAATCGTCAAGTGTCTTGGTGAAAATCCAGAGAAATCTGATGATTCAGACCTCTGATGTTCTTCCCTCTGATGTCCTTCTGATGTTCTTTTTTCAACGAATAAATTCCATTTCTCTACATTATGTTTCACATTGAGGTCATTCTTTTCATTTTTTATACAGCTAGGGTATTTAAACTTTAATTAATTTTTTTAAAACTAAATATTTTGGTCGGACCTTGGACCTACGTCTAATTTTTTGGTACGCTTGGAAACGCAAGAGTTTTTCCTCCCCGGAAAGCCGTAGCATTCAATTTTTCCTACGATTTCTTATACTTATTCTTTCTTTTATCATTCTAAATTAAAACTCCAATTTATTAGCTCAAAATTTTCCACTTCCAAGTCTTTCAATTTTTTTTTGAAAATTCTCAAAGTGTTCGGTGATGCCGTTTGGCAACATTTGGTTTTGTGCCCCAAAAAAGGTCAAAAGGTCAAAATTTTCAAAAAGGGCAAAAGACGTGTCCAATTTTTTTTCATAACCTACCACATATATTTTTTTCATCAAAATCGGTGATCCAAAATTAATTCGTGCAACAGAGGGTTAATCGATTCCTAGTTTATTCATTTCAGCCGACTTTCATTTGCGCACATGAGCGAATTTTAAAAACTCGGATTTTCTGGTAATCTTATGAATATTTGGCTTCAGTTTTTTCAGATAATGTCGTTCACAATTTCAGCTGAAGTTCCTGAAAATTTCAAGGAAAAATATTCATAAATTTCCTCAAAAATAAACAGTTTATTGAAGAAAATTTGGCAACTCTTGAATGTTCTTACAGCGTTCTTCCTTAACATGGCAATATAGGAATAGTGCCTCTTAAAGTTAAAATTTTATTCGACTATGATAGACAGATAATCAATTAACTAAAAGTACAAATATTTTTCATAAAAAAAAAAATTAAAAAAAAAACGAAGTTGTACGTAAAGTTATGCTTTTCTAAAATTGACTCACATACTCTTGCCACAGCCCAAACTATGAAGCTTGCCCTTTAAGAGAAAGAGCATCACATAAATGTGTTAATTCCAAAAAATGAGGAAAGTAAATCGATTCCAGGTTGGCAAAAAATAATCCCGAAATTCGGTCATACTCATTTTTATTGCTGATCAATCATACTTTAATGGAGCGATAATGCAAGTAGTTGACAAATTCAAGTATACTTAAGAATTTTTGAATTGGACATTCTGAATGGGCAAGAATGCCAGAAGGATGCAAAAAGCAAACATGCCTCGTGATTGGCACGAGGTGAAAGTGGAATTTACCGGCTGTGCGAAATTGAGAGGTTAGCGATCATCCTGGATTTTTTTATTGATCTCAACGGGCATGAGTTCATTGAAGTGAAAATAGAAATCAATGAAGTCGGGTCATAGATTTGTTTCCCGATGGTTGTAGCTTGTGAGTTAGGGTAAGATCAGTGGCAGCGTATGCAAACCACTATTTCTGGCTCATTTTAGAAACAGCATTTATGACCTTGGTTTCCCTAAACATAAAGGTGATTTTACAGCACTTTACAGTAAGCCTAAAGCCAGGAACAAACGAACGTGTCGTTGATAGAAATACTTGAACTCCAGAAGTAACTATTTTAACTTGAAAGCAGTATAAGTTGCATGTTCCAAAAATGAAGGCGCACCGTCTTTCCTCGAGTATGGAAGTATGGAACATGAGAGGACCGTTTCAAAGCGGCACATCAGTGAAGGTAAGTTCTAGTCTGCATGTGACTAAGAATTTTTAATTGCCGAAAACCGACTGGCTGTTGTACTCTAGGAGTCATTGTGACCTAGTGTCTCCACTCTATTCTCTCTTAGTTTAAATTTTTTAACGGCTGATGCCATTAAAGTGATACGGGCTCCTTTTTCTTTGCGGGGATTTACTTTTATATTAGCTTTGATAGCCAATGCGGAATATTTAAATATTTTGTCTCAAAGCGAGACTCGCGTCCAAAAAAAAAACATAAAATAGCACCTCCTACCAAACGAGTCTAAAAAACCAAGTTATAAGCCAAATTAAAATAGACGATGAAATTATGCTAGAGCTATTCAGCTGTGGAATACTCCTATTCGTGCTTAAAACCAGCGTCGAAAAAGGTCTCAATGCAACGCAATCCGTCCCGTCCGAGTTCGATATTTTCACTTTACTCCTGAAACAGATAAAATATTTTCTTTTCCATTTATTTATCCATGACATTTTATTAAATTTTGTTCATCGTATTTTGATACCTGTCACTATTTTCCAAAAATATTGAATTGGTGGTTATATTTTCAAAAAGGACAGCGAAATAATACAGGTTTCGTTCTCTGTCCTCATTGATCGAGGGCTTTTATTTGTTACCTACTTATCATTTATTAATGTATGAGCGTCATGACGCTAATCCGCTTTTGTAATAAATAGAATTAAAATGCATGAGGAACATTTGGCGTACCAGAAGAGAGCTAAGTTTTCAATTTTTAGGTTGAACTTGTCAATCAATTCCTTAGAGAGGACGAGAAATGATAAGTATTTCAATTAAATGTGTATCGAATATTGTTAAATCATTATTTCTTCCATATTTTGTTCAGTGACTTCGCTTTCGTTCTCTCCTTCCTCCCTCTTTTTTGCCGAAATGTATACTGTTTAACACTCAAAATTGAAGTGAGTCCCTATCTACAAATTGGACAAATCATAAGTTTAATACACAAGAGGAAAAAACACACCATCTTATGCCCCCTTCCGAAATAAATAAATAAATAAATGAAATTTCAGTCCTGCATAATGTCCGGTGGTTTTAATTTAGTTTTAAATTTGAGAGCAAGAATATAGTAAAATACTGTACCCAACGCTGAAACCAGAATGCATGCTGCTGGTATACACAAACATGGTGTCAGGTAAAGCAGTTGCTGAATTTCGGGCGCATACTTCTTCAGTTTCTGATCCAATATTCATAACCACTGCAACAGTTTCTGTTTCTACTGATCTGCAACATAACAAAGATTTGGAAGTTGAATAATTTTAAAACCCCTTAAGTTGTAGCAATAAATACAGAAATCTGAATCTTTCATTTTGAAAAAGGGTCCCATTCTATGGATTTTTTCATTTTGAAAAGGGTCGCATTCTATGGATTTTTTCATTTTTCAAAGAAATCTACAACAATTGGATAGTTCGCAAGATCTTTTTAAGTTTTTTAAATCGTCTGAGTGCGATAATTTTTAATTATTAGAATTTTGGAAGAAATTTTTGAAGTTGCAATAATTGACGAAGATGTTCAGTTTGTTTAAAACGGGTAATTTCCCAATAGTGCACAAAAGAGTAGAATATTCTAAAGTCCGCATAGTTCACCATTAATTGTTGTATTGCACCCTTCGATATTTTATCATATGTATTACCTGGTGAACATGAATATCCATTCCTTGGGAGCAAACGTTTGCAAGTCACCATATCGAATTACCGGTGTCCTTCTCAGTTGAACCAGTCGCTTAAATATGTTTAGATGACTGTTAGGATTTACACGCTGAGCGTTTACGTTCATTCGATAGTAATTCGGGTTAACAGGTACCCACGGTTTTTTTGACTTCGTGAAACCTGTGAAATTTGATATCTAACAGCATTAGAAAGACATTTTGATATACAAACATGTTTTTATTTGTAATTGAAAACTCCATACTGAGTCTTTTATTTCACCACGCACCCACTATTTGAAAATGTTATCATGTGAGAAGTGTAATTTCTGAACAAGAAGAAATCTCAATAATTGAATAGGATTGACCAAAATCAGCCTGACCAATTTTTAGAGTTTTACTGTTTATTAAGAAACTTATCAATCAAATTCTTTGAATCTCATTGTGAATTTTGTTTAGATTATAGAGAAGACAGACACTCACAAAATGTCAAGTGAAATTTTTACTTTTCTTTAACAAAAGTAAAATCTGAGATGCCTGATGCATGCAGGTAACGCCTAATGTTATTTATTAGATTCTAGCTAAATTCGTCCAAATAAATTCATTAAATGAAGGTGGAAAATGAGGAATTATTCAAACATACTGAAAGGGAACATTTTTAAATCTTAGTTAAACTTCTGGAGATTTGTATGGGTCAAAAACTTTTAAAGTTACCTTAAATATTTGAATATTTCTCTCATATGTATCTCCGAATAAACAAAAAAATTACTCTATCAGTTTTAAGAATTTTAAAAAAAAGAAAGTGATACCCTGAATTAATGAGTCTTGAGTGAGTATTGCTTTCAGCACTTATATGTATAGAGTCTCTAGTGTACCTTCAGTCAGAAGCCCATGCACCGTAAGCTTAACCTGGATGAATATTCTGCATGATTTACAATTCTTATGTTTCGATGAAAATAATTTTGTGGTAGGCAGTTATATTTTTTGCCGTTGAAAAGCACGGAGTGGTGTATTTTCCTAAATCTAGCGAGGTGTAAAAGGTGCATCCACCTGAAAACCCTGTATATGTGGGGAGGGTTCCCTACCAGCGTTCCGAGTGTCATCCCAGAGCATTGGGCCTCTAGAAGCGTCACGATTCTCCAGTGAATTCACACCATTGTTAGGGTCTCGTTTTTGATCCGGTCTTGGATTTATGTCCTCCAAACCCAACTCGCCGCCGTAGTAAATCGTCGCAATTCCTGGTAAGAGAAGTGTAAATATGTTCCAAGAGTCAACGCTCTCAGGATTGAATCGCGAGCTTACTCTAGGATTATCGTGATTTTCTATCTGGAAATAATGAACCCAGACTCCCATTAAAACCTACTTAATGTAGTAAGCAGTGCAAATGTCAGGTCAGCTGTCTATATTATATATACGGTTTATTCAAAAGCCACGCACCACTGGCCATGAGGGGGGTGGCCATTTGAAATTTTTGAGTTGCCCCCCTCCCCCTGAAGGGATCAAAAACTGGAAAGTACCTAAAAAAGTTTCCTCCTCGATATGAGGAAAAACGTCTTAAACCGCGAGTCGATATCATAATTAGAACTACACTGAAAAAATGGTATGCTGCTTTAGCACCTGGGATGTCAAAAATGTGTCTGGTGATCCTAAAATGCTGCCTTGATGGTACAATTGAATTTGCATCCATAGGATGTAAAGACAACTACGGGGGCAGTAAAGGCAACATCTTGGGATCACCAGACACATTTTTGACATCCTAGATGCTATAACAGCGTATTATTTTTTCAGTGTAATGTTAAGGCCAGTGGTGCGTGACTTTTGAATAACCCTGTATATCATGTATCATAACAAGAATCAATATCTTAATTATCCCATCAACATCGCGTCTAGTCAAAGACACGTCTAGTGGTCCATCGTGGATTAGGTTAGGTTTTTCTTCCAGGTAAAGACATGGAAATTTGCACCACGATGCAAATATTACACAATAAACTTCTCTGTTCCTTCTTCTTCTTCTTCTTCTTCTTCTTCTTCCGCTCCTAATTACTTCTTAATTCACCATTATGTAGTGCCTATAAAAGCGTTCGGCCATTTTAGTTCGATTTCTTATTGTCTTCCTTGCATATCTCTAAAAGGTAAAGTGCACTAGAATCTAGATCTTTTTTTTCCATATCAAAATGTCAATCAAGACTTTTGATTGGATGAAAGTAATTCATAGAAATCAAATAATATTACGTGATAGGTTTCATTGATGAGAAGAATCATCGAGGGCGAAGTATGAAATGTTATGTACTTGCCATAAATTTTGAGGATTTTAAGACCGACTTTTCCTTGCATTTAAATAAAGGCATAATATTTTTTATCAAGCAGTGCGTTTGAGATTTCGTTGGTTATTAGCTCAGAATTTTTCGTATGAAATAAAAGATTATTATGAATATCAGTATTATTACCATTAGTATGCCTAGTACTCACCACCCAATTGTAATACCCTTCTGGGAAGTTATCTATCATACTGCGAACCCATTTTTCAACACCCGAGGAGTTGGTATTTGGAGTCAGAAGGTGCACAAGTCGGTTGTAGAAAGCAAGCTGAGCACCAGGATGTGTCTCATTTCCTAAATATTCTTTTAGAATGTCCGGGGTACCATAGTCTTCGGGACAGGTCAACCTGAGGATTGCGTATGACTTGTAAGATGTATGGAAAAAATTGGAAAATATTTTAACCTACTGTAGTTTCAGCTCTAGTTTACTCTTCCACCTTAGTTACAGCAGGAGTTTACCTAATGATTCGATTTAGATGGAGGCATTCTTGGCGTTTAGAATCGTGCAATATTTTCAAGGCTACGACAGATGATCATCTGGTCAATCTTCTGACGTAAGGGCGTACTCGATTTTCTCGTGAGCCCTGTTCTCCGTGTACATCTATACTTTACGAGGCTCGTGTGAAACATGAGATACGCCCTTACGCCAAAGGAGCTACAATTTGAGTAGCCTAAAAGTGGTCGATTCTTTGACAGGCTCGACGGAGGGCGGGGGGGGGGGGGGTGTCAAAGTCTAAAGTTTTTAATGTTCATTCAACTTTTCAATGGAGACAGTTATTGATATTTCCCTTTAAGCGTAAAAAATAACATGATTTACAGTGTTTAGATTTGCAAAGTTTTGATATTTTTTGACGAAGTCATGATGCTTTTCCCTTCGTTAATTTTCTTTTCCCCAGCTTTGTGCCACAATTTTGACCCTGTGCTTTAGCGCGTCGTAGCTAGGACTACATACTCATTTTTCTAGAACTAGACCTTTTAAGCTTCAAAACGAGCCTATAAGATCATGCCGCGGAGATTATTTCCAACTGCGCTATGGTCGTTCAAAGTTGGCACGACGCACAGTGGATTGAGTCAATTAGAGAAGTCGGACATGAAATTGTTAACTATTACTGCAAATTTTGATGTTTAATTCATCAAATTTTAAAATTCAAGGGATGCCTCCAGTCGAACATTTACCGAGAAAACCAATGAAACCACTTTTAGACACTCAAAGTTATGTATAGAAGGAGTTATAAGCGTTTAAAGTTTCCAAGTTTTTTCCGACCTATCCTATTAACTCGATCCACTGAGAATCGAAAATTGAGTAAATCTTCCTAGAAATCTACTCTATACATGAAAAAACATGTTTTCTAAACTTTCAAGAAGCACAATATAGAGTGCAATGCTATCATTTTAAACTCACATTAAACAAACCCCATTCATTTGAATAGGGAGAAAACAAACCGTGCACCAAAAATGCATTTTCAAGTAAAGAATGTAGACTAAAAGATGCAACTTGGTTGGGGGTTATAGGACACATTGTCAACGATTTTTTGTCCGCGCACCTGTTTTTTCCAGTAATTATCTACGTCCACGCGTTTTTTCGGCACGAAAGTTTTGGTCCACGTGCAAGTTGAGACCCAAAGTTAATTGGCCCACATGTAAATACAAATGACATTTGCTCACAAAGTTTTTGGATGAAAATATATAATGTCTTGGAAGAATGAGGGTTTGCTTGTTTTTTTGTTTTGTCTGTTTGGTCCAATGGAGAATTATACATAGTTGAGAGTTTTGGTAAAAATGGGGGAGCGTCAATTCCATGAGACAAAATTCACTAAAACTCTCTACACCTCTTTGGTGTAACAGGACTTAATTATCTTTCAAGAAATTCCCACCTTGTTATACCTGAACCGGATAAACCTCTATATTTGCCTCAGCTAAAGGCTCTTAGATTTTTCTTGTGTACGATAAGTATCTTGATTTATTTTGCAAGGAAGCATTTGTACTTTTAAAGGATGCCTGTCATTCTTAATACGTTCAATTTCGTATAATACTGTGCAACACCTCTGTTGTGAAATAGTTACTTCAGGCGCCGCCGCACGGCGGGCGGCCAGCTCGGAACGCGCATTGGCGCCTACAAACCTAAGTGGATACTTCAAGCATTGTGCAATGCGAGAAGTATCCACTTAGGTTTGTAGGCGCCAGTGAGCCTCTTGCGCTGGCAGCACGCCGCTCCGCTCTGTTCGACTTTAATATTTATACTCGCATAGTCAGCGTTTTTTAACTTCGCACACTCTGCATTGATTATTCTCATTTAAATTGATGGGGAAAAAATATGTATCAATTTATCAAAGGAGAATAATAATATAATGTGTGTTTTTTAAATATTGGTGGTTCCGTGTCAAATTTTCTGATTTCCAAAGCACTTTAATTTTTTATTTTACATTTTGTGCTTTCATTGTGCTGCAGCGAGGTGTACGCGCAACGAAACGCTCAAAATTTGACGTATTTGACTCTAAAAGATCGATGTATATATGGGTTAAAACTAAGATTGCGTGCTTCTTGGTATTTTCCCCTCTTTTATTCATTTTTGCATTTTCTGTCGGCACAACTGCGGCTCATTACGATTAATGTCGCTTGGAAAAGGTCGCAACAATGTTGTCGCAAATATTTGTCACGTTTTAAAAATATAAATGTTTTCAAAATGATGTAATAATTTCGTAAAGAAAAAATAAAAAAAAGTACCTATACATATACATAGGGTGTCCCAAAAGTACCGGGACTGGTTCTGTAACTTCGAAATTAAGATAGATACAGACATGATCTTGGTTTCATTTTAAAGATCAACTCAATACCTATCGATTAAAACCAAGATCAGCTCAATCGGATAAAAATTGACCGAGTTATGACAATTTGAAATCAGTGAGGAAAGTTTACCCCTACGGTTTTTAAGGAAGATTCTTCATCGCCGTAAATCGAAAATCGGCCTGTAAAGTGATGCTTATTGTGTTTTTTGATTTTCGAGGTGTCAATTATCAACATTTTGTACCACCAAACACAACAGTTGACAGTGCGTCTTATTTCAAAGTGCTAAAGGAGTTGAGAATGCACATCTCCCGGAAACGGCCGGACTTGAAAGCTTCGTGGATACTCCATAAAGACAATGCGCGGCCTCACACATCGAACTTAACACGTGAATTTATGAGTAAAAATGGAGTTGAAACAATTCCTCATCCCTCTTATAGCCCTGACTTGGCTCCATGTGATTTTTGGATGTTTCCTACGCCTAAAAAGAAGCTTCGCGGACGAAGATTCGAATCGAAGACCGAAATCCAGAATGCAGTTCAGAACTTTTTCAACGCCATCCCAGAGGAAGAATTCAGGAAAACAATGTTGGATAAGTGGCATGAGCGCATGAAAAAGTGCATCCGGTTTGATGGACGGTACTTTGAAAAGCAAAAGGAAGTTATGGAAGATTTGGAGGAAAGCGGATACGAATATTAACTTTTTGAATCCTGGTAAGCGAAAAATCTTCCTAAAAGACCGTAGGGGTAACCTTTCCTCACCGATTTAAAATTGCCATAACTCGGTCAATTATTATCTGATTGAGCTTCTTGGTCTTAATCAATAGGTATTGAGTTGATCTTTAAAATGAAACCAAGATCATGTCTGTATCTATCTTACTTTTGAAGTTACAGAACCAGTCCCGGTACTTTTGGGACACCCTATGTATAAGGTATATTGTACATTCAATATTTTAGGTATAGAAATAAAACCAAATATTCACCAATGACAATTTAAAAAGATGATTCAAAAGGAGAAAGTAATAAAATTTCATTTAGATTATGAGCAACCATAACAACACCTACTTCTCTCTCAATTTCTCATTTCCATATTGTCAATATAAATTTACATACTGACTAAAATATAACGCTTGGACCAAGTCACTGTTACGTTACGTGTGGGCGTAATCTACTGGACAAAAAAGGTGCGCGGGCAAAAATCGTTGGCAAAATGTCTTGAAACCGGGTACATTCATCAAAGAGCCATTTGACAACAAGAAAATCACGCTTCCGACTGGGTGGCGGGAAGTCAAAGTCTCGCCGTCTTTTGAAGATGCATAAGCAGCGAAATAATCGAATGTTTATATTGTTCTCTGGAAACAAAATAATTCTTCCAAACTTATGAGAGCACCCGTGTCTTCCAGTTTGTTAGAGAATAGCGTATGATACATTTTTGAATCCGTATATTTGAGCCTCTACAATGTTTCCATAATCGGTTGATGTGTGGCAAAATTAGTGTATTTTTCATTCTGAACTTGATTATAATTTTGATACTCTCGACAAAAAACGTTCACTCTCTATATTTTGACCGTAACTTGACGCTGAGTCGTATCCTCATTACAAAGTTTGTAACTCATAGTCATGGGGCGACGTGTACTGTCGTGCTAAGGAAGAACGCCGCACTGAAAAAAAAAAGTTCGGTAAACCCGAACTAGTTAGGATCATATGGAACCACGATTTTGTTCGGTACACACGACCGAATTATTCGGTCTGCTCAGCCGAAATGTTCGGTCCATTGAACCAAACTTTAAGAATTTATTATGGTTCGGTCGCACAAACCGAACAATTCGGTTGAACAGAGCGAATAATTCGGTTGTGTGTACCGAATAAAACCTGGTTCCATATGATCCTAACTAGTTCGGATTTACCGAACTTTTTTTTCAGTGCGTATGAATATTCGAGAGTTGTCAAATTTCCGTCAATAAAATGTTCATTTTGGAGAAATGTCATGAATATTCTTCCGTGAAATTTTCAGGAATTTTCGCTGGAACTGTGAGCAAAATTATTTGAAAAATCGGAAGAAAAATAATCATAATCACCAGGAAATTCGTGTCTCACCGTAGGAAATTTGGCAATGCATGAAGGTTCATACAACACGTTTTTCCTTAGCACGGTAGTGTAGACTCCTTGACCCCCCTTATCTATGCCGTATGTGGATTGCATTTTGCAAAAAGGAACTAAAAGCATTGCAATGATGCTAATATTGTGCAAATTCATCCTTTGCAGTAAAATAACTGAAATCATGAAAAAATGTGAAATTTACATGGTAATTTTTCTTAGATTCACAGTTTTCAGCGAGTAAAATAGAAACTGTCAATGGATAATCAAATGTTTTTTTCCAGGACAAAAGAAGTCACACAATCTTAGAAACATTGCAATGCTCGTGGTTCCTTTTTGCAAAATACAATCCATGTAATGTTCGTACATACATGTGCGTTTACGGATGCTCACTAAATAGTGTAGAACTAACCTAGTATGACCATCTTTCTTCTTATACTCATGAAGTAAGGAGGCCCACGATTTTACTAAATCGTAGTTCCCTGGTTGAGCGAGCGTGTAAATGTGGTCCAGGTTGAAAAAATCGTTCTCATTCTTTGAGCCGTCAATCGCAGGTTCATCTTTGAAATGGGCTGCCTCCAGTAAGAAGAACGCAGCGTCAATCCTAAACCCATCCACACCCATATCCAGCCAAAACCTCATTACACTCTAAGATTTAGCAAATAATACATTTCATATTAATTTATATTAAGTAGTAATCTTACAAGTTTTAAAGAGTTAGAAGCTCTTCCAGCAGAAAATTCAATTCCATGCGTTTGTTTTTGTCAATTACTAATGTTACAAATGAATGTGATCATTTAGAACAACTGGTCCAATGGATTTTTGTTTCTTTTCTTGTCGATGGTCACATGCTCTAGTTTGTTGGTGTATGCGTTCGATTTGTGAGAAATAGGAATGAACATGTATTGATAATTAAATGGAGAGCCTCGCAAAATTAGCAATAGATGACTTCACATGGAAAACAATCATTATGGTTGGATGTCACAATCATATCTGGATTACACAACAAAATCACCGAAGTTCGCATAGTGAGGGAGTGACTGCAAAATATCGACACAAAAATATTTCTTGCGAACATTCTGAGAAGAAGCAGTCAGCTACGAAAAAAATGAGAGGGAAAAAGACTTACTTCGAACTCTCGCAAAAGTGAAGGGTTTCGGAGATCGAATTCTGGTTGCTTTACAGAAAACATATGGTAAAAGTACTGCTTCCTCTCTTCACTCCATGTCCAGGCAGAGCCACCACCAAAAATACTACGCTGAAATTTAATATTTGAATAAGCTTTCCTTTATTTATTAGTGCAAAAAATTCAGGAAAATATTTATCCAAAATATGAGTAGAAGAATGTCTAAATGCACGTTCTTACTTACAACCGAGCAAATATAGATACAAGGTCAATTATTTAGTCAGTTAGTCCCTTAGTTAATCAGCTACCAGTTAGTTATCAATTAGACAGTTTACTATGGATCAGTCAGCCGGTTTATCAGATAGCAAGTTCGTCATTTACTTAGTGTTAGCTCATAAATATTCAGTCTTTCATCCTTTAACTTAATCAGTTAGTTACCTGGCCAAACTTCGGGTGTTTCATGCTAGTTTTAAAACCAGGAATCCTTAACCTACCGACTCGACTTTATTAAAACGGCTAATTGGTTCCTTTCTGTTAAATTCTATCAATTTTCACTCCAAGACGGTCAGCTAAAACCTTTGCTTAAAGATGGCCCTCGTAGAATGAGACTTCATTCTCTTGCTGGTACCTACAATTGGACGTATATCTGTCAAAAGGAACTATATGCATTATGACGTGAGCCGTGTTATGCATGTATTCTTATGGGTCTCAGGGATCATGTCCTTATGCACATAGTTCCGTTTGATAGAAATACATCCAATTAATATGCTAGCTAAATTTAACTGAAGAGTTTAACAATACCCAGTTATTTGGATACGTGAAATGAGTTTCGTTGATCTTCTTAGCATCTTTGAAGGTATAATAATCCTTGTAAGGCGCAACACCTTGCAGCGCGAGTTTGAACCATTCACATTGATCACTCGAGTGATTGGGCACAAAGTCAATGATCAATTTCATTCCTGGCAAAAAAAATGAAATTACAATGTACCGTTTACGTATATATAACGAGCACAGCTTTAGGAGGAAGGTGTTGAGAAGAGCGTTACTCCGTTTTATTTTTAAGTTTTAAAGGATAGAGACCCATGTCACAAAAGTTGCGGATAAGGTGGGAGGATCAAGAAATCCAAAAATTAAAACCTATATTCTTATGTTTGTGATTAATTTCTCTCAATGCATTTCTAAACAGCTAATGAATAAGTTAAACCTGTTTTGGCATTCGACATTCTATTCCATAGTGTTCCGAATGTTTCTCTATGTTTTACGTCTTACTTTAAATTAACATGAGCGTGTAAATTAAGCATATGTATAGACTTTAGAGTTATAAAATTAGGTCGGCAAATTTTATTTTACATTGTGCCTTATCGAAAAAAAAAAAAAAAAAAAAAAAAAAAAAAAAAAAAAAAAAGACCCTGAGTTACCTTTTTCATGAGTTCTTTTGATTAAATTCTTGAAATCATCCAGTGTGCCAAACAAAGAATCCACGACTCTGTAGTCAGCGACATCGTAACCCAGGTCAAGCATAGGTGACTTATAAAAAGGTTGAACCCAAATAATGTCCACCCCGATATCTTTGATGTAATCTAATTTTTCAAAAATTCCTGGATGAGACATGAAGCAGAAAATAATTATTTGAATAATTTTTAGTTCCTCTACGAAAGTCCTAAAATGAAACATCTCCAAAATCTCAGGATTGGCTTTTTACACCAACATCCTGAAAAACGAGGGATTAAACTTTTCATCAGCTCCTCATCTATTACTAATATATTTCTTAACTTAAATGTGGTAGATTTTTTTAAATACAAAATTACTTTATAATTATCAGTTTATTAATTATTAGTCTATTAACTTTGATGTATGTATTAAAACCGACAATAAAAGCAATTAAACCGATATTATAAAGTAATTAATTAATACAAAAATAGTAATTAAAATAATAATAATTTTAATACAATCATAATGCAAATTTTAATAATTTTGAATTGTATGTGCACTTAAAATAAATTTTCATATTTATAGACTTCATAAGATCATAATTTTCTATAAGAGGGCGGTCAATTTTATGAAATCGATAAGTGTTCTTTGGTGAGCAGACACGGATCTACTCAAACGGACATATCTGAGAAGATAATGCACGAAGCGCATACTTTAGAGGGCTTATATCTGTACATTCAAAAGGGCATTGCGCTATTGATATTTTCCCTATATTTTCTTCTTGCTTTTTATGTCCTCATATTCAAGTACATATGAAGCACCCGGGACAGTGCGCAACTTGCTTATGCTGCTATCGCGTGAACAGTTCCGACGGAGGAGTCAGATAATGTCTGTAAGCACCAGCGGGGCGATTATTGAAATTTCTTGTTTGTCGGGACGACATAGATGACATAGGTTAAGAGGCGGAGCGTGATTGGTCGGCTATGTCTTATCGCTGCTTTGTCGTGCCTTTGTCAGGTGGAATGATCGACAAGCTAACGGCACCTTTTAAGTTTCCGACAGTATGTCGATCATTCCACCTGACAAAGGCACGACAAAGCAGCGATAAGACATAGCCGACCAATCACGCCCCGCCTTTTAACCTATGTCATCTATGTCGTCCCGACGAACAAGAAATTTCAATAATCGCCCCGCAGGCAGGCGGTCCATTTGCCCGCGAATTGCATTGATTGCACAGCAGCGACTGGTGTATTTTGCGATACATCCATTGATCTCCCATTCAAACCTATGGGAAACGATCGAAAGACAGGGTGTTTGCGACGAGCACCTTGATAATCGATTCTTTACCACAACTTCAAATGGGGAAATATCGGTAATCGATCATTCACGCCGCGCCACTGTTGCACAGTTGGACTGCTCGGTTGATAGCAACTTTGGAGGTTGCATTTCTAGACTGCATTTGATACTCCAGGGGGGGAAATGGTCATGGACTTAGGATGCAAGTTATTTCGGGAATGTGTGAGGGAGTTCAAATTATGTGTGAACATATGAGAATAACGAATAAAAAGTAGACTTACCTATATTTTTTCAGATAATACCTACCTTTGCATTTTTATAGACTTTGCGAAAATTCAAAATTTCCGAAATTTTTGGAGGGACCAACTTACAGTGCATTTTAACTACTCTCATATCATTATTATCCTACTTATTTGGTTTTTTTTTTCACTGGTAAATGGTTTTGAGTACTTACCATTTATATCACCATAACCATCTCCATTAGAATCTTTAAAAGATAGTGGATAAATTTGATAAACAATACTCTGTTGCCACCAGTCATATGTTTTGTATCCTTGCGTTTTGTCGCAAAAACAGAGCATAGCAATACACAGAATAAGCGAAGTAGGAAAAACTTGCATCATCGGATCCAATCCACTCCGACTTTGTCCTCCTGAAAATTTAAAATCTTCCAAGAGGAAAAAAAATTGCAATAATTTGAGATTAGTAAAAACTGTTGCACAGGGACATATACAAAATCGGAAGAGGTACACGCGTAACTCATCTGTTATTATTGCTGTTTCCTGACTTGAAGCTAGGGTAAAAAATCGATTATGAAGGTAAAAATCTCGGTAATTTATCTTGTCCCATGGGTCTAATCGGCAGATCAATTGATTTACCGCAAAGCACGACACGCCGCACAGTGGATCAAGTCAATGGGAGAGGTCGGACAAAATTTGGAAACATTCAACGCTTATAACTTCGTTTTTACAAAATTTTGAGGTCTTAAAAATGACACCATCGGTTTTCTCGTACAATTTGTCATACCCCTCAAAATTTAAAATTTGACGAAATAAACATCTAAATTTGCAGTTTTAGTAAAACTATTCGTTTCCGACCTCTCCCATTTATTCGGTGAAACCACCACTGAAACCACCAATTTTGATCGAAAATGGTGTACAACGGCGGGGTGGGTTCCACACCAAGAAAACAAGACTTTTAAACGACTTGAGCGCCCACCGTAGGATACGCGCAACGCATGAAGTATCCTGCAGACTTATAAGGCGCTACAATGCGCCCCGCGGATCGTACTGTGCGCGCAAAGCATGAAGTATCCTGCGGTCTTGTAAGGCGCTACTATGCGTTTTGCGCCGTGCGCGCCAGCCTCGCGCCGCGCCGCGGATACTGTTGACTGCGACGACGTGGCTCCGATGTGGAGCACGCAAAGATTACACAACAAATTTCCAAAGCTCTTTAAGAGGAGCTAAGTTAAGTCAAGCCCTTAAGTCCATAAGTCCTTAACTTTCCTGCCTCATGATTCTAGGTCCATTCTGCTGAATAAACAAATCCACACAAATTTCAAAGAAAAACTTTCCGCCTTTCCCAGGCCATAATTGCAGCAATTCATAACGTTCAGTTTTTAATGTTATGGCGAGCTTGAGGGCTGTATTCATTGTTAATCCAAGAACAACTCCTATCTTTTGGAGGCTCCACACGGCTCATATTGCGTTTGAAAGTTGTCTTAGGAGATTTTCAACATTTCATCATTGAAAGCACAATTTTACCGTATCTCAAATAAATTGCCTGAATATAACTTTGAGAACAGACTCTTGGAAGGGACTACAATTATTTGCCTTCACAAAAATACAACAGAAAAAAAACTTGGATATTTTGAAAAAATTAAAGTAGGTTAGTATCAAGTTCGTCAACATCATGAAATTTTTTCTGCCGTATTTTAAATTAATTGCGGTGGCAAATAGATGCTACCTAGAGAACATCCATTTCAGAGGTCTTTGCATATATATTATGCTGTTTACTCAGCGCACGAGTAAGTCACTGCTTTTCCTTGACTGGTGTTCAAGACTAACGTTAACCATTATACCATCGAACTTTTCCTCTCGTACTTCTCATTGCGGTGGCAAATAATTACTACCTAGAAAAGATTGATTTCCGAAGTTTATGTATGTATCGTGCTGCTAACTTAGCGCACGAGAATGACCTGTGACTCTCAATCGCCACTGAAAGCGATCCTCCCACAGATCATCAGCTTAATTCGAGTCAATCCATCCTTGAAATTTTATTTTAATTCAAAAGCACCAAAATGGATAACTTCGCACTACTGAATGGCGTTCATTCTAAGCTTTTGGTGTGCGTATAGAACACATAATTTTAAGCTTCGTCACTTATCAGCCTCCCTTTATTTTTCATTTTCTAATTCCCTTAAGTTTCTTGTCTTTTCTCTGACCCTCAAAAATAGCAACTAAATCGAAACGAAAATATTGTGAAATTCTATTTGGAAACTTCTGAAAGATGCGGTTACTTAACATTTACCTACTTTTTTGAAGATTTCGGACTTCGCAGCTGGATTTTGCACAATTTCAACAAATGAAAATAGGTGTAAATTCTCTCCAGATCAACTTTGATGACTGGTTTTTTTATCCTTCTCACCCACTGGTCTCGACTTTTGAGTGGCCTGGTTTCGTGCAAATCAATGCACTTTTATTAAAGTTAATTATATAATGAGTGAATCGAACTTTCAGTCATTCACTTTTTATCTTTTTCGGTGGATTAGCTCTGAACTTGTGCACAATATAATCTCCCACTTCACTGTGTGATGATTAGAAATCTGAGGTAAAAATGGTTATCAAAACTAAATATCTTTTTCATAAACCAATTCTAACAATCTCTAATGCATTTTTTTTCTTATTTGCTTTTTTTATCTTTAATTGTTACATACAACTTGGAACGCAGGAAAGACAGATGGCAGGCCCAAAGGCCTATTATTTACATTCTAGGAGAACATCTGAGCTTGGTGTAGTTCATTTTTTTTATTTTCTTTTCTTTATTTCTCGTAATTAAAAATTAAATTAAAAAAAAAAAAAAAATTAAAAGTGGCAATCAAAACAATAGATGATTTTAGGTGTCCCACGGTACAGCATATAATGAACAAGACTTGCTTATTGTGGTAATGGTAATGTGAATATTTGCATTCCAACTCTACATTATTTCTAGGGTTGATTCTTGTTGATGTTGTCGACCGTTGACGAAGTTAGAATAAAGGTAGATAGCTTCATTAGGCTAGTTAACTCATAATTACCCTGCAAAAACTGAATTATTAGGACAGCAAATAGAGAAATGACAATTTCATGAAAAATAATCATTTCATGAGATCCCGAGCCATCGTCTACCCTCAGAATATCGATGGCTAGAGTTCGAGGCCACATTTCTCCGATTACGACGTGGTAGACGACTTTTAGTTACACTTTATTTTTCCCTCGGAAAACCAGTCAATGTAATTTTTTGAAAGCTTCCTTGATTTTTCCTCTCTGTCAGTAGAATATTCTGTATAAATTTTCAAGTTATGAAATTGACTTGTTCCTCCTCGAAAAAAATGTAAACCAGGAGCGGAGATTTGGAAAAACAGTAATGTAGATACGTGGTGTCGCATTTTTAGCTTTCTATATGAGATTCATGACGTTTTGGACTTCAGGTTAATATTCCCTCGCACTCTTCAGTTTTTATGAATGAGAAAAACAAGTGCCAAAAATGCATAATTTTTACAAATTTATTTTTGAGGTGCTAATGCATTTCAAGACTCAGTCCTATCATCAGAGCTGAAAGATATATTGCCAAGTTACACAAAATTATAATGTTAGAAAAATATAATAGACTTGCAAAACAAGAGACGAACTGGAGGTACAGTAGAACAGGATATTAATCAAAATTGCAGCATAATTGAATTATAATAAAATTGCAGCTTCAGTTTTTAATGGTACAAGCTTTCGATTTTTTTCAGGGCGTGCTGTTGCCACCGCTTGGACGATTTTTGGATTCCCCGGAAACTTTTGAGATGGTCGACGGTGCCTTTTCGAAGATATTTCGGTCGACAAGTCAACCAAGGCGGAAAACATTTCGAGGATTACTGAGCGCTTTATGTCTTCGTCGGAGCGGAGTAAACCTTTTTATCGTGTGTTTCAATTGTTGAACAATTGAGCCTTGATTTCAGCACCCGAAACAAAGACGCTCCTCGGAAATGTCGGGCATAAAAAAACTACGACTTTTAAGCTTTGATTCCATGTTTGAAGCTCTAAAAAGCCTGAGGGTTACTCGCGTGTTTTTCAGACCCATGAGTACTGAAGAAAATGTCGACTCTTGAATTTCAAACGTGCATTTTCCTCTTGATATTAACAAGCAAAGGCATTGCTGTATTGCATATGCCTTCACACGAAGAAAAGTAACCTTCGTAAAGGCGCAAAGGGGTTGGTTACATTGGCTGTCCGCCAGTTAGACCTGCATGTGATGAATAATCGATTCTAGTCGGATTTAGTCTCATGGTAACAGAAGTGTGATCTCAAAATTCGAGAAAAATTACAAGTAGCTGAAATTATGGAACGAAATCGATGCTATATATCGCACGTCGCTCCGACACAAAAAATGCCAACCGTCGAATCACCTTGAACCATTAAAACATGATTCCGTGCAGCCAACCAATCCAGGAAAGGTCGATTGAATCGTTTCTTTAAGAAGTTCAGTATTCAGTTTATTTTAAGAAAGCGACGAAACATTCGGCAAAAAAGAGGTTGGTGAAAAGCGCAGAAGGGACCCTTTTTTGTGCTTAATCCGAGCCCATTAGCACGGTGGTTTACTCCTGCTCGCGACGACGCAGCAACCCGCCTTGCACACCTCAAAAATGCTGCGCCCCCCAATCTTTTCACGCACAGCGCCTTCCATCCACTTTGAAAATGTAATACGTGAGCGCACATCGCTTCACTAATCATTATTATCATCCTTTCCTTCTTCCAGTCGAACCAGGGCCTCCTGTTTCAAAGCGGCCTGAAAAGAAAATACCGACACTGGAGGGCTCGATCAAACGGAGTCCATTACTTATCGAGCGGAGGGGATATTAGAAAGTAACAAGACGTCTGAACTCTCGTGCTAAGGAAGAGCGTCGTATGAGCCTTGAGGCGTTGCTAAATTTCCTTCGACCAAGGAAAATTTCCAAATTTTGCCAACTTTTCCCGGGAAATTTTGCCAATTTTCAGGGAAAATTGGGAATGTTTATCCTCTGATTTTTCAGAGGGTTTCGCTCAATTGGATTGCATTTAGCAAAAAGGAATCAGCGCAATTACATGTTGCCTCTTCATAATTATCAAACACATATCCCAAAATAACAAAAAGTTTTTGTATCCCATCAAAAAAATTGTCAATTCTAAAGGGAAATAATTGTTAATTTTAATACTGTGCATATGTTCAGTAATTTTAAAGGAAAAAAAAGAATTTGCACGATTTTGAAAACACCGTAATCACGCTGGTTCCTTTTCGCTAAATGCGATCCAATTGATCTAAAGTGTCTAAAAATCTCAAGGAAAAATATTCATGTTTT